TTACCAGAAATATCCAAGAAATTTCAAACGACACAGATCTGCCGTGTAGACAATTTTACAAGCGAAGCTTACAAAACTAGAAAACGTTTGTGCCATATGTATATACCCATTGAGAAATACACTGGATTTGATTGGCGAAAATTGGCGATCGAAATTTTACGTTGCGTGGAATGTGGTCGCAATTATTTATAATACGATAATCGTGATAAGATTCAATTGAAATTGTCGCGCTGCGTTATTAGCGGCTGTTAGCTGATCCCGGAAAATTAATGTTTCTTTTTCAAAAAGGAACCGCATAAGCACAGTTTCGACTTTTCTAACAGTGCTTTATACTACGCATCAAATTTGCCGCTCGTTATTCTTACGCGTAACGTTATTTCCCTTTCTGAACACGCATCCTCCCTCCAACGAATACTCTCTTTTTATAGCAGCGTGCACTTTCTTTTTTTTACTGGCTCTGGAGGTTCCAATGCGGCCAAGATAGCTTCGTCGAACACATTTTTCAAACCTTTCTGTAACGTTCAACATTCCATAGAATTATCGAAAACTCACAGTAGCGAGAACCTTAGCGAAGGCTAACGAGAACCTACCTGCGTAAGAGCACTACATTCCACGTATTTTACCGCTTTCAACTCTTTCGCGAGCTTCTCCCCTTGTTCCGCGGATATCGGTTTTTGCTTATTTTTTGCCAATTTTTCGATAGTAGCAACGTCGTCTCTCAAATCGATTTGAGTACCAACCAATAAAAATGGTGTCCTTGGACAATGATGCGTTATTTCCGGTACCCACTGAAATTAATCGATGTAATATTAATAATATAGCTAACGCTGTTCTACTTTTTCTAACAATACGCGAATTGAATAGAGGCCAACCTTTTCCTTAACATTTTCAAAAGATGATGGTGAAACTACTGAAAAACAAACAAGGAATACATCTGTTTGAGGATAACTTAGAGGTCTAAGTCTATCGTAATCTTCCTGTCCTGTAACATAGCACGGTGTTAATACTTCCTTACTATTCGAAAGAACTCTGGAGTGATCTTATTGTACACCTACCAGCAGTATCAAATAGTCCCAATGTATATGGATCACCACCTATCATTACTGTTACTGCATAATTGTCAAATACTGTAGGCACATACTCTGATGGAAACTTATTGGTAGTGTATGAAATCAGAAGGCAAGTTTTACCCACAGCCCCATCCCCTACTACCACGCATTTTATTGTCTGCATGCTGATGTTTCTTCTATTACCTTAAAAAACTATATCAAATATGTCTCTAAGATTCCTATTTAAAGTTACACAAATGAAAGAGAATATGCCTACAACTTTCACACAATGTTCTGCACGATAGAATATATATATGTATATATCAAGATGACTTTATTAAGAACAAATTAGACACTCCAATTGTTACTCCAATAATTTAATACCTTCTAAACAATTCGAACGTTAATCGATATCTTTTTTATGTTTTCATCGTATAAAACACGTGCAGTTTGATCGAATCTTTTTTATGAATCATTCGAGGTCGGTCTGTCCTTAACCTACAAATACTAACCAAATTCTTCTCATACAAAGACCGAATTACTTAAGATTGCTTTATTACTCTTCGCAATACCGAATATTACGTTTCATACGAGGTTCAAATTCTACGTCAAATGATTAATTTGTCAAAGAAAAACGTGTTGATTTATTTAACACGAAAATAAGACGATTACCTACAGTTGTATGTCTGTCATTAAAGGTTAAAATCGTAGCTCATAATCTTAAAATTCCAGGAATAAATAATTCGGAATATTTCGAATGAAAGTAAATACAACATTTAACACTCTGACACTAGAAATCTCGATATATTCCACAACACTTTATATTTATCACGAAATATACATTTCTCCTGACGGATACTGTGATTCACCAATACTTGTCGCATACGCCTAAAACCTAGTACGCATGATAACGGATGCCACAAAAATACCTAGCGTTAAATATCATTCGAAACATAAAACAAGGAGAGTGAAAATGAAATTGTTGTTATTATCAGTTCCTATAGTACACCGTCTATGTGAATATCTTTATGTGTCATTGTGCAATTAATAAAATATAAACGCTAAAAAAATCCAGTTTTCATTTTTATTTTACGAAATATTCCAATTACATGTAATAATTGATAAAGTAACGATTACATTCTTAATTTAATTAAATATAAGAGTATTATAGTTGGTTATTGTAATAATTTCATACGGGCATGTGTTGAAAACCATAATAATCGCAAAATAATTTGTCATATTGGACTAATACAAAAATACATTATAATTTATCCCCTGCATTAGTAAAATGTACAACTCTCTTATTTTCTAAGGACGTGTGTAGTTTCGTTATTACATTTTCTATGTATGTACTGAAGTTTACCTATTATCTTGCTTCAGGTTTCGAGAACGGCTGTAACGATCCCGATTGTACCCAGGATAAACCAAGCACTTTATTTTCTTCTTCTTCCTAAATACCATCAAATTATTACGCCGGAATTAACGAGTGATTGAATCAAAATCTTTTCAATTGATAAAACAACCTTTACGCATATCTTTCTATACCTTGCGCTCGTAAATTTCTCGCTTGACGGAGTCGTGAAGTTCATCGACATACGGACTAAAGGTAATGTAGTGAGGATCGTCCAATATCGGCGGATTGTAAACTTTGTTTAAACTGTCCCTCACGCATCTTTTTACACGATCTCGGAACGCTTCAAAGTTATTCTCCAACCTACAATACAAAAATAAACTTGATGCAAGACACTTGTAGACTCGATGCTTCTTCTTAGATACTTACAAATTAGTTGCTTCATGATTTACAGGATTCATTTTAATATCTACTTTTGCCAGTATTTTCGTTATAAATTGTATCAGTTGCCAAATTCTATTGCTTTTTCTCCATTCAGGAAATCCCCATGAAGTGCATAGCTCTCCAGATTCGGGGTCAATCAAAGGATGAAAAACTGGAGTTTGAAACATAACTTTCTAAAATTTGTTTTAAATGCAATTATAATGGTTCCATAATCAAACTGTTATACATTAGGAAATAAAGCCTTACAGGACATCCTCCATCTGGGAAAGTTTGTGGCAGTGTAATGGTGAATCTAAAGATTCCTCCTTGATACATTCCTTGCCGCACAAATTGTACTCCAAGCCATACTAACACAAAATAAATTCATTACACTTTAACAAATGCCCATTGCAAGCATGTGTAAAAGAAAATGTGGCAAACAATAAACCATGCACATATTTACATGTAAACCATTATACAAGACCAAGTCAGGACAAGCAAGACCTAAGAATCAATTCATATTTGACTTAAATAAATGAAATGCAACTTCTTTCACACGTGAGCAGTGTGCAGTGGCAAGAAAAACTAGTCTTTCTTCATTTATATTACTTACACAAGGAATTTTGAGCAGATGGTATCACATAAATGCCTTTCAGATCTTGTGAACATAACATGTTACTATTAAACAAAACAAAAAGAGAAATAAAACGTTTGGTTTTTACTCGTACCATCATGTGTACATTCGTAAAAATAACTTACTATTCTGATAAAATATGATACTCTTGCAAATAAATCGCATGTTCCTTATTAGTTTGCGGTACAGTTGGCCTATCGATCATTTTCACGGACATACTCAGCTGAGAATCTCCGTTTGCATTCAAAGGCAATAATTTCCTAAATGAACCTTGCCTCCTTAGATTATCATCTTTATTAATATCACCCTAATATAAATGAAAATCACTTGTTACTTTTAAACGTTTCCGTCTATTTCCTAGGTTGGACGAAAATATCGAGGTACACATATGTATTACCTTTGTTCCCGACATAATGGTATTATTAAGTAGAAAGAAGACAGTTTTCTCAGCTACGAAAAAATGTTGAAAATTTTAAATAACTGAAAGTCGTCTCATCGTTTCACAAATTCCAACAGATCATTAGTAATATAAATTAACTGTAAAAGAAACGCGTTGTTCGTCACTGTTGGTTACATAGTTTCAGTCGATCATTTTCTTAATAATACTCCATCTCACCGATAAGTGAACAACGTTTGCCAACAATGAGAGTCGATAAATATTATTAATAAATTTTCAATAATTAATCACGCTTGTAGGAGAAAACAGTTTAGAAAGTATTTGCAATTTCGTTTCACGATAGTTGTTTTATAAGAAAATGATCTGGAGGGACGTAAATGAAAAAGGATTCTTTTATAATGTAATCTCTGGAAGAAAGTTGGTAACGAAGCTGTTCTATAGACAATGATACGTATACATATCGTCGTTCCGATCAATTTGCTACCATTTTTTGTTTACTTAACGTGGCTTCTGTGTACATAATACATACATTTATATTTATGCATACACAAGTAAACTTTCTACGAAGGTTGTAACAGTCGATAAAGAGGGACTCGAAAAGGAAGGTAGAAAGATTTGCGACGAATATCGTGAATAGCGCCGATAGGTTCTCCACAATCTCGTAAAAAGTCCGACCTTCCGCCTTCGTAACGTATATAAACTCTGACTCTGATTAACATCGAAGTCGGACAACTGTCAAATGACAAATCTGCTTCAAATATTACGTTTCGAAGATTGAAATGGCAGCAGAGATAAATCCCGCACCGGGAGTAAATCATGATAAATTCAGCACAAGCCGCAAACCTGTACTTTTATCGAAATTAGAAGGATGTAATGACGATGTCAATGCAGCTATCATTATACCGCGGGAAGATGGTGTAATTAGTGTTTGCGATGACAGGTATATTGGTATTATATTCTTTCAATGATAAAATTCATTTTTTTCAAATATTCGTTCGGAAGAATTAACGAAGAATTCTTTTCTCCTCTGCTACACCTTCGTACTCTTAAGAAAACGTCTCTTGCAGGACTGTTAGAGTTTGGCTGAAACGAGATTCTGGCCAATATTGGCCCAGTGTTTGCCAATATATGGCTGCTGGTGCAACATCGATGCATTACTGTGTACAAACAAGGCAATTATTTGTCGGTTTGGAAAATGGAACTATAAATGTACGTATGAAGAAACATTCTTACAGAATTAACAACACTGTCTTTATTTTAGAATGAATATGTTAGGTATTACTTGTAGGAATTTGTTTTGGAGCAAGATTACAATCGAATGACTGCTATGCGTGAATACACTGCACATCAAGCAAGAGTTACAGGTGTTATATTTGCACAGAACTGTGAATGGGTTTTAAGCATAGGACGAGATAAAATGTTTCAATTGCACAGTTCAGAAGCAGGTCAAAAATTAGGATCATATCAGACAGATGCATGGTACACTGCTTTACAGTATCCTTTTCTGTGTTTCAAATTATTCCCAACAGGTCTTTTAATCATCTGAAATGCATATTTCATTTAAAGAAACTTCTTCTTGAAGTTACATTTCTTTAACTTGCTCAGATTTGACGCTCAATCGAAACATGCTTTTGTTGGTGATTATTCTGGACAAATAGCAATGTTAAAATTAGATACCAATGGGGTCACATTAATCACTACGTTGAAAGCACATACAGGCAGCATACATACGTTAGCATGGGATTCTGAAAGACAACTTTTATTTTCTGGAAGTTTCGATCAAACTATCGTAGTATGGGATATCGGAGGACGTCAGGGTACAGCGTATGAACTGCAAGGACATCAGTAAGTTGTTCTGTTCGTTAAGCGGAAGTTCGTCGCGGAACAAACGTACGTTTTACAACTTTGGCTATAATGTTGCAGCAACAAAGTAACTGCATTGTGCTATGCAAGTGCAGAACGTGTGTTGTTATCCGGAGGAGAAGACGGCGTAATAGTTTGTTGGGATATGGCTGCGAATAGAAAAGAGACCGCAGCATGGGTAGAATCCGATACGTGCCAAGTACGTGATTGTAAAATCATGAATCATTATAATATGGAATAGTCGCTTTATAATATGGAATAAATTTAGGCTTGTGGAAGACCATTCTTTTGGAATATTAAAGCGATGATGGATCAGCGACAATTAGGTTTGCGACAGCATCATTGTCGACATTGTGGTCGTGCATTATGCGCACGATGTACATCTCAACGAATACCAATACCAGCAATGGGTTTTGAATTTGAAGTTAGGGTGTGTGACCCATGTCATATTCAACTTAAAGCTGCAAAGTAAGTAGCGATCACCGGACTGGATTAACTCAAAGATGAGATAAACCAAGCGAATATTGCATTCATGCGATGTATCTGTTATCTAGCCAAACATCTCTAGCATCATTCCACGACGCAAAGCATAATGTTGTCGGAATGGATCTGGATGCTCCCAGACGAAGATTACTGACGATCGGTCAAGATCGTCTCATTAAGATTTGGGATATTTCCGCGCTTCTTCAGTGAACTTCCAAACATGTTTATTTACAATTAACGAAACTAATCAAATCGTAAGATATAAGAGTATTTCAATGTAAAAGTATAATATCCAGAGCCTATTTTTACGACCATGAAATCATTTCGAAATCAGTTTATTTAATTGCAAGTAAATAGGTTTTTATATATTACGATTTGCTTCTTCTATAAAAACGAAAAACAAAAAAAAAAAAAAAAGAACAAGAAGGAGAAGAAAAACCTCTAGAATGCAAACACATTCTACAACACCAAAATAGGATACTTGTAAAATTAAAAGAAAAGAAAACGATGTATTTCACTTGCAAATACTTTTTCAGCGGAGAAAAGTAACTCGAGAACTTGTTAAGCAAGTGGTAGATATTAGTATATTTTTTAATATTTCTTATTTAAAAACGACCAAAGTACGAATCAATAGACTATATTCGGGTTTTCAATCAAATTCGTTATCAATTTGTTAGAACGAATCATTACGTTCAGTCAAAATAAATACGAAAAGATGATTTTACTGTTTCATTAGACGTTTAACAAATACAACAGCTGCGAATAAATAATTTCAGTTGCATAAGAGTAAAATATGATTATTAAAAAATACACTACATCGTCCGATATGTTGTAAGTGATTTTGCTTTTGAATTAAAGCGAATTGTGCACTTCCGTTTAATCGGCAAGCAGTCCGAAGTGTTGAAAATTCGTTTGGCTTACAGAAAAAAATAATTATAATTCTCTTCTAACATTCTGCTTCAATGGACAACGTTGGTTCTTTCCATTAATACGTGCACCGTAATATTAATAATGCAAATATTAATTAAATATTACTACTATAAATAATTTAACGAAATGACGCGACATTTTTGGGGAACTACTCTAAACTGCCCGTTGTTAATTTAAACAATAATATTTTTTTTCACAGCATTGTCACTGTTGCTCCTAGTCGTTCTCTTTGTTATACTACTAATTATTTAATATTATAATTTCTCACGAGCAACTATAAAAGCAATCCATCCTAAAATGCTAGTTGATTTCTCGACGCTCAATTGTTTGAAAAATAGGTACAGGTTATGCAAAAATAATAGGGATTATTGGACAAGTATGAAATACTCAGAAATTGTGAAGTGGTTTGTTGTGTGTGAAACGATAATGGAATTATGGATATTATCGCAAAATGTGATGGAATTTGTTAAATTGAATTATACGATACACGATTAAGGTTATAAATACGCCACATTTCTACTGAAAAATCTTATATAATTAAAGCTTTTTATACTAGCATGAACTTACACAACGAGAAAACATACTGTTCACAGGTTGGATCAAATGATTTTATTATTTTCCCTTTTTTCTTTTCTTTTTTTTTTTCTTTCGAACGTTTAACTATTTGATGATTCTATTTGACGGTAGTATGCATATCTTGTACCTGAATACAATTGCTTTCGTTGTCATTCGATTAGTATAATAAAGATTACCAATTTCTCTACTGTAACCGATAATTAAAGTAACCGCAGGAAGAGAAATTCCACTTATCATCGGAACAGATTAAATCGATCAATGTACGCGAATGTAATTCGTAAAAACGTACTACGTAAATCGTCTTCATCTCCGAACATAGCTATGTATGTCGTATGTTTTTAGGACTATTTATGAAGTCTTACATTACATAATATTATAATTAATATTTTATACGCTGTTAAAGGAGAACATGTTTTCAGATTGCTTCCGTATGCTGAGATATATTGCTAAGATATGTTGATGTTGATGATTTTAAATACATGTAGTTATCAAGAAGCAATATGCAATATATTTGGGTATAGAATTTACGATTGATAACTTGTTTCATTACGAAAAATCATTTGTATCACACTAGAAAATAGCGTGGATAAGAACGCAGCATAGTATTTTGTTATAATTTTAGTACAGGTCGTATTGAAATACATACTCGTAAAAGAGAAATCGTTGGAATAGAAGTATGTATCGTTCTCGTTGCGCGAAAAGATCGTGTTTCTATATACAGACGATTTTACGAAACTGTTAATTCGCAACGTGCATAACATCGCCGGTGTTATTATTGTTGCTGAAATTCTGAATAATTTTGCAATATTAATGTATATGTTAAAAGTTGCAGAAATCACAGTATATGTATGTATGTATGTATATCATTCATGTGGAATTCATATGAAATGAAAATATATTTTCGATGTAAACGATTCGTTTGTCCTTTGTGTGCGTGTGCGTGTGTGTTACTCGACGCATGACCGATGAAATAAACGAAACGAAATGGAAGGGAAGGCAATTTAAGATGGAAATAATCAGTGGTGGCGGTATCCGCGCGGTCGATTCTTTAGAGGAGAAGCGTACTGGTGGATCGGTAAAAAAAAAAAAAGATGGTTTAGAAGCGGGGAAAGAATACCTTAGGTGGCATTGAGCGGCATTGAGTCGCAACAGGTTGCAAGTAGGCGAATAAGGTGTGCATCGGCGGCGTACGACGTGACGTGATGAAGAGAAGATAAAAGAAAAATCAAGGAAGATTCGGCGATCTTTAAAGCGAACGATAGAGGGCCGTGGAAAAAAGGATCGGATCGCTGGTAAGGTATAGATAGCCAGGTTGCTGGGGTGTCGGATAGCCGAAGCCGATCGTGGTCTAGACGAAGGTAGTTTTTCCACCTCTTTCAGTCGCTTCCACCTGGCACGCCCGATTCGAACCGAAGCTCCCCGAGTGGACGCGTTAATGTGCCGGTCACCGTGGCCCATTCTCCGGGACACGACTACTGTTGCTTTTCGTGTGTCCCATTTCGTAGCGCAGTGCGCGATCTTTCCTCTTTTCATTGTTCGTCGCTTCTGCCAAGCGGTAACCTCCGACGATCTTCTCTAGTCACGTCGGACATGAAAAGCGCGCTTTACGTCGCGTCCGAAGTGCAGTGCAGTGCCTCTTAATGGAGTGTGCCAACATCGTGTAACCGCTTTCGTCGTGTTTCTCGTTACTCGCACAAGGTACGTTCGAATTTGTTCGTTCTCTCTGGAATATGGTTTATACAGGACGATATCGAGATGTTCGCGTATCGCTACATGGAATATTCTATTTAGTATACGGTGCAAGAGAATATCTGCGCCGTTCGAACAGATATTTCTTCGTTGGAAACAAGATTCTCACGTCAGTACGGAATCGTTCCCCCCTATATAGATCGGACGGAAATATTGCACGTTATACATCACCATTGTTACCGCGTTATCGCGACGCTCAGAACGGACATCGACGATCCAGCTACTGTCACAGTTTATTCGTCAAACTGTATGCGTGTAACAAGTGCATGTTCCCCCATGAACGGTATTCGAGATGGTTAGAACGATCGAATAGCGGCTACTCCGCATAATAACGTGCACGCAACACGTATCGCATTTTAAAGAGCGATAATAAGTAAACGAGATAAGAGAGTGGAGCTTCAGATGAAGGTAAACGAACGTCGAAATGTTTACCAACCGCATACGATCGCGTACCCTACACGTCCGACCGATTTCCTCAATGAATCGAAATCGTTTTTCCCTCTGTCGGTAAATCTCGAAACTGGCGTGTATTCTTTGGCGGAAGAGAACACGACTCGATTACACATAATGGGAGGAAAATACTTGGCAAGCAAATGTTAAACGTTTTCGGAACGTGTTGTGCTTGTTCTCTCGGGCTGGTTTGATCGTGTTTAATCGGAAACGAGAGAAATAACAGAGAGGAAGATATGTACACGTGGAAAGGTATCGTGACGTAAGGAGTAAGGACTGTGAAACGACGGGCGTAGCGAGTAAACGGAAGGCAGGAAAGGCTGAAAGGTTAGGAAAGGTGAATGAAAAATTGTAGAGGGGAAAAGTGAACTGCGTGAAGAATCGGAAGTGGATATTTTTCGCGAGTTTCGAGCAGAGTCGTTGCGATTCGGAATCGCGGGACGTGCTTGCACGCGTTGTCGTTCGATCGCCCGTTAAAGTCTCCCGTACACGGTGACTACGCCACTGGCCGTTCTCCAGATATTTTCAAAGTCAACGACTGCGACTCCTTTTCGCGTTCCATCTTTCAAGTTCAAGGGGATGGGTGGGGTTTGGAACGTGGTTGCACTGCTCCTTCCCTACTTATCTCGTTGCGTCACGAACGAATCGATATTTCATTCGATGGAATATATCGATTGGTCGGAAATTGAGTAAAGAAAAGAGTAGCAAGAATAGAAAAAGGAAGGAAAGGAAGTTCGTCGACCCGAGAGTTACTCGTGCGAGCATAATCGAAGCAAATCCATCGTTGCCCTTTGGCGAACGAAATCGATGTCAGCGACGCGTAAACGGCAATTTCGTTGCGTTCGATCGATACTCTTCTCGAGCTAAGAGACTCGATATTCGGACGCGTTTCTTCCCTAAATCGTCGTATCGTCGTGAATTAAAGATCGAAACGAGCAAAGTTGTCGGATAAGAGACAAGGGAGATGAATCTCCCGAAGAGAGAATCCTCGATGGACGTTCTGGAAAGGTGGACCGATAAGAGACAAGGGAGATGAATCTCCCGAAGAGAGAATCCTCGATGGACGTTCTGGAAAGGTGTAAGGCTGGATGGTAGCAGCAGAAACTGCCTAACCCACTTTTGCGAACAGGTTTATGCTTGTGCTGGTTCCACTGTAACGGTGATCGGGCCAGACATCATCGTCGCACGCTGGAACGATTTTTCTCCGAATAGATATACAAGCGTAAGAGTGTTGAACTGTTGCCGGCTCGAAGTCTCGGCTGTTGCGTAGAGTGACTCGCGCGCAATCACTTAACTACCATCGCAATTCTCTTCCCGATAAACGTTAACGCGTTTTTCTCTCGCCGTTCAAAATGCCAGCGTTTCCCTTTTTTTTCGAAACAGAGCCAGAAAGAGAAAAAAAAAGCTTTCTCTTCTTTCAGGCGGAGTGCCGACAACCACGACTTGAGAGATGGTCATCGTCACGCGGGTAAGTGTTCTTCTGCATTTTTCCTCGATATGGTAAACGAACGAGGTACCGACATGTTATTATGTTACCGCTTTCCTCGCCGTTTTCTTCCAAGACGGTCAGTAGGAATGTGTGACGAGTGAAAATGACGGAGATTCTTCTTTCTCCGCATCGCAGCGCAGCGACGTTCGAGTCGCTTACCTTACTTTTATCTCCGATAGATCGATCGATAGTCGCGTAAATGAAATTAAAAGTCGATTCGATATTTTCACCAAGGTCCCTTCCCTTCTTTCCATCGACAGTCGCCGATGATAACGGTGGAATGCGTGTTGGAGGAAAAACGGGACGCTGGTTCGCACGCGTTCGTCGTTGCACGTATTCTCGTCTATCGTTTCTACAGTTTTTGTACGCTAGCCTGTGGTACGGTAGAATGTAGGAAAATGGACTGTGGGCGCGCAGTTCACGCAACAGAGTCGCAGAACAGATCGAGACGAATGGTCGGTTAATTAGGCATAGTTAACGGTCCTTCGTCAGTTCGCGAATGCCCTGTACACAGCGCCTTAGCATTTCGCGCGAACGAACCAGCCGTCGTATAACGGGACGCGAATCGTTTTACCGGACAAGCGTTTGTACCCTCGATCGTATTTTATTCTTTTCCTGTTCTCGTCAGCACGCGCCCGTGCACGGTACACCGTACACAGTACATCGTACATCGTACATCGTACATCGTACATCGTACATCGTACACCCACTCTACGTAGTTTGGTTTTTCGATCGATGGAAAAGAGCTTGGGATGAAAGTAAAATGAAAAGTGGCAAAAGAAGGGCCAAATTGAACGCGGAGAGGCTCGTCTCGCGGTAATCAGACGTATCCGTAGAGCATAGGCTAGGCTAGAGGTTCTCAAACATTCTTTCAGCGGAAGCACCGCGCGCGCTATATGTACCGGTTTGTCGTGTTCCTCGCCGCGACATCGATCAGGCGATAGATAGGTTGGGAAAATTCACGGTTAGGCTTCTCCACGGAGAGATTAGCTTGAGAATAGGTGAGCGCCGGTGTAATACCCGTTCCCTTCTCTAATTCGATTATCGACTCTGCACGTAGGCAGCTCCACGAAAGATTCGCGCGAACCTTGATCTTCCCTTCTATTTTACGCTTACCGAGCTGCTGCGCTTCGCGGTAACGAACTTTTACTCGTTGCTTCCGTCCTCTTCTCTGGAACGCGCGCGTAACAAAGGAAGGAAATTACCGGTGAAAAAATTACGTTACAGGGAGATTACATATGGATCGAACCAATCTCAGGGAGAGAATTTGACGTTGCGATCGGAGCACGAGTGATTTCCGCGGAAGGCAGACGCATCCAAGTGAAAGACGACGATAACAAGGTAATAATCGTTACCTACTTTCCTTCGTTACCTCGCATGAAACTTCAACTGAAATTTCCAGGAACAATGGCTGACTCCGGAGAGGCGAATAAAGGCGATGCATGCCACTTCTGTGCAAGGTGTAGAAGATATGATCAGCTTAGGAGACCTCCATGAAGCCGGCATTCTCAGGAATCTCTTGATCCGCTACAACGAGAATCTCATATACGTAAGCGAATCTTCTCGCGTCCAAACCGACCACGCTCTAACCTACCCTCTTTTTCTTCCGCCTAGACCTACACGGGTTCCATTCTAGTCGCCGTCAATCCATATCAGATACTGCCTATTTATACCGCGGAGCAAATCAAACTGTACAAGGATCGGAAAATCGGGGAGCTGCCGCCGCACATATTCGCCATCGGGGACAACAGTTACGCGCACATGAGTCGATATGGTCAAGATCAATGCATCGTCATCAGGTATTTTAATTCTCACCTTCTTCCTATCTTCGAACGATCTTCCTATCTTTCTCGAACTCACCAATATTTCTGTCTTAGCGGCGAAAGCGGAGCCGGCAAAACGGAAAGTACCAAACTAATTTTGCAATATTTGGCAGCGATCAGCGGCAAACATTCTTGGATCGAACAACAAATTTTGGAAGCGAATCCAATCTTGGAGGGTAAGCTTCGACACGTTTGTCTAACGCGGCGGAATTTCTTCTTTTTCCTCTTTCGTTCTTTTATTCCGTAGCGTTCGGCAATGCCAAGACCGTACGAAATGACAATTCGTCTCGCTTCGGGAAGTACATCGACATTCACTTCAACGAACAAGGGGTGATAGAAGGGGCGAAAATTGAGCAATATTTGTTGGAAAAATCACGAATAGTCTCGCAAAGTTTAGACGAGAGAAACTACCATATATTTTATTGCATGCTGGCCGGTCTTTCGAGAGAGGAGAAGCTGAAGCTGGAACTGGAAGACGCATCTTCGTACAAATATTTAACAGGGGTAACGTTCCTTCGCGTTCTTCCACCTTCTTAAATCTTCCACGTCTGAGACGTTTTCTCCTCTCTAGGGTGGTAGCATCACCTGCGAAGGACGAGACGACGCCGCAGAGTTTGCCGACATCAGATCGGCGATGAAGGTTTTGTTGTTTTCCGACGCGGAGATATGGGAGATCCTCAAGCTGCTCGCTGCTCTGTTGCACATGGGAAACGTTAAGTACAGGGCCACTGTCGTAGGTAAGTCACGTGTGAGATTAATCGAAAAGCATCGCTGACTACGAGTACGTAAAACGTTCTTCCGTTGTTTCAGATAATTTGGACGCTACCGAAATACCGGAGCAGACAAACGTGCAGAGGGTAGCGCATTTATTGGGCGTACCTGTTCAGTCTTTGATAGACGCTCTCACCCGCAAAACGATATTCGCTCACGGTGAGACAGTTGTAAGTAACGAGTAATTCGCGTTACGTTTCAATACACGCGACACTAATTGTAAGCACGAAAATCACGTTCCTAGCACGACCAGGCAAAAATACTTTCCAAGCTCACCGGAATCGCGTAACGTGTGTGCGCAGGTTTCCACGTTGTCCAGGGAGCAATCGGTGGACATCAGGGACGCGTTCGTCAAAGGAATATACGGACGGCTGTTCGTCCACATCGTGAAGAAGATCAACGAGGCGATTTACAGGCCAAAGAACACGTCCAGAAGCGCCATAGGCGTGTTGGATATATTCGGCTTTGAAAATTTCAGTCACAACAGCTTCGAACAATTCTGCATTAATTATGCGAACGAGAATCTTCAGCAATTTTTCGTCCAACATATTTTCAAGCTTGAACAGGAGGAGTACAATCACGAGGGTATCAATTGGCAGCACATCGAGTTCGTTGATAATCAGGACGCGCTGGACTTGATAGCTATCAAACAGTTGAACATCATGGCGTTGATCGACGAGGAATCCAAGTTTCCAAAAGGCACCGATCAAACGATGCTGGCCAAGATTCACAAGACGCACGGCAGCCATAGGAATTACTTGAAACCAAAGTCCGATATCAACACGTCTTTCGGATTGAATCACTTTGCCGGGGTGGTGTTCTACGACACCAGAAGTTTCCTCGAAAAGAACAGGGACACGTTCAGCGCCGACCTCTTGCAGCTGATTCATATATCGTCCAACAAATTTCTGCAAGCCTGTTTCGCCGAGGATATCGGCATGGGATCGGAGACCAGGAAGAGAGCGCCCACGCTGTCCACGCAATTCAAAAAGTCTTTGGACTGCCTGATGAGAACGTTGTGCAGTTGCCAGCCTTTCTTCATCAGGTGTATCAAACCGAACGAGCACAAGAAACCGATGATGTTCGACAGAGGGCTTTGTTGCCGGCAATTGAGATATTCCGGCATGATGGAGACGATTCGAATCCGTAGAGCCGGTTATCCGATCAGGCATTCCTTCCCGGAGTTCGTCGAGAGATATCGGTTCCTCATTCCCGGTATACCTCCAGCGCACAAAGTGGACTGCCGCGCGGTCACATCGAAAATTTGTCACATAGTGTTGGGAAGATCCGATTACCAGCTCGGGCATACCAAGGTCTTCCTGAAAGACGCTCACGACTTATTCCTGGAGCAGGAGCGCGATCGCGTTTTGACGCGAAAGATTCTGATACTGCAACGGAACATACGCGGTTGGGTGTATAGAAGGAGGTTCCTTCGTATGAGGGCGGCCGCGACGGTCGTGCAAAAGTATTGGCGGGGTTACGCGCAACGGCAAAGGTACAAACGCATGCGTATCGGTTACATGCGACTTCAAGCGCTGATCAGATCGCGCGTGCTGTCGCACAGATTCAGGCATCTCAGGGGACATATCGTCGCTCTTCAGGCACGGGCCAGAGGTTATTTGGTGCGTAAGATGTACCAGAAGAAATTATGGGCGATCGTGAAGATACAGGCCCACGTTCGAAGATTGATCGCGCAGAGGCGTTACAAGAAAACCAAGTACGAGTATCGGTTGCACGTAGAGGCGTTGAGACTTCGAAAGAAGGAGGAGCGGGAGCTGAAGGATCAGGGGAACAAACGGGCGAAAGAGATCGCCGAGCAGAATTATAGGGAACGAATGCAGGAGTTGGAGAGGAAAGAGATCGAGATGGAGATGGAAGATCGGCGTAGAATGGAGATCAAGAAGAATTTAATAAACGACGCGGCGAAGAAGCAGGACGAACCGGTGGACGACAGCAAATTGGTCGAGGCGATGTTCGATTTCCTGCCGGATTCGAGCAGCGAGGCTCCCACCCCTGCCAGGGAGACCTCCGTGTTCAACGATCTACCCGCCCCGAAGGCGGATCAACAGGAAATCATCAGCCCTGTTCAAACCGCGTCCGAGGACGAGGAGGATTTATCCGAGTTCAAGTTCCAAAAGTTCGCGGCGACCTATTTCCAGGGAAATATCACGCATCAGTATTCTAGGAAGCCGCTGAAGCACCCGTTGCTGCCTTTGCACACCCAAGGGGATCAGCTGGCCGCGCAAGCCCTGTGGATCACGATACTTCGTTTCACGGGGGATCTACCCGAGCCTAGGTTCCACACGATGGATCGAGACACGACCTCGGTCATGTCGAAGGTGACGGCGACTCTCGGCCGTAACTTCATCAGGAGTAAAGAGTTTCAGGAGGCGCAGATGATGGGCATGGATCCGGAAACGTTTCTCAGGCAGAAACCACGATCGATCAGGCACAAGTTGGTCTCGTTAACGTTGAAACGGAAGAACAAACTGGGCGAGGACGTGAGGCGGAAGTTGCAAGAGGACGAATACACGGCGGACAGCTATCAATCCTGGCTGGAAGCGAGACCCACCTCGAATCTCGAGAAGCTGCACTTTATCATCGGCCACGGAATATTACGCGCGGAGCTCAGGGACGAGATCTACTGCCAGATATGCAAGCAACTGACGAACAATCCTTCCAAGTCCTCTCACGCTCGCGGCTGGATTCTACTCTCGCTCTGCGTTGGCTGCTTCGCCCCCTCCGAGAAGTTCGTGAATTATTTGCGCGCGTTCATCAGAGAAGGACCACCTGGATACGCACCGTACTGCGAGGACAGGCTGAAGAGAACGTTCAACAACGGTACGAGGAACCAACCGCCAAGCTGGCTCGAGCTGCAAGCCACCAAATCGAAAAAACCGATCATGCTACCCATCACGTTCATGGACGGAAACACCAAGACGTTGCTCGCCGATTCCGCGACTACAGCCAGGGAATTGTGCAACCAGCTGTCCGATAAAATATCTCTGCGCGATCAGTTCGGGTTCTCCCTTTACATCGCGTTGTTCGATAAAGTCTCGTCGCTCGGTAGCGGCGGAGATCACGTGATGGACGCAATCTCTCAATGCGAGCAATACGCGAAGGAACAAGGTGCTCAGGAACGAAACGCACCGTGGCGGTTGTTCTTTAGGAAGGAGATATTCGCGCCGTGGCACGAACCTACCGAGGACCAGGTTGCCACCAATTTAATTTACCAACAGGTGGTCAGAGGGGTGAAATTCGGTGAATATCGTTGCGACAAGGAGGAAGATCTGGCGATGATCGCCGCGCAACAGTACTACATCGAGTATCACGCAGATATGAACGTCGACAGACTATACACGCTTCTGCCCAATTACATTCCAGACTACTGTCTGACGGGTATCGACAAGGCGATCGACAGATGGGGACATCTCGTCCTGCAAGCGTACAAAAAGGTAATCTCGCACCTTGCTGCGTCTTCTCTAATTTTCCCTCTCCGTTCTTTCTCTCTACGATACTGACCGAACCTTTTTCTCTAATATTCTCGCAGAGCTATTACTTGAAAGAAAAGGTACCCGCATTACGGGTTAAGGAGGACATCGTCGGTTACGCCAAGTTCAAGTGGCCCTTGCTCTTTTCTCGCTTCTACGAAGCGTACAGAAACTCCGGCCCGAATCTCCCGAAGAACGACGTTATCATAGCGGTGAACTGGACCGGAGTGTACGTCGTGGACGATCAAGAACAAGTACTCCTCGAGTTGTCGTTTCCCGAAATCACCACCGTATCTAGTCAAAAGTATATGCTCCTCTTACGACCATCTCTATTCTCATTTCTTCTCTCCCCCCTCTCGCCTCTTTCCAACGATCGAAATTTTCCAGAACGAACAAGATGTTCACGCAAACGTTCAACTTGTCGACGGTGCGAGGCGAAGAATTCACGTTCCAGAGTCCCAACGCCGAAGACATTCGCGATCTGGTGGTATACTTTCTAGAAGGATTGAAGAAGCGTAGCAAATACGTAATCGCTTTGCAAGATTACAAAGCTCCAGGCGAAGGTTCGTCCTTCTTGAGCTTTCAAAAAGGCGATCTTATCATTCTGGAGGACGAGAGCACCGGCGAGACGGTCCTTAATTCGGGATGGTGCATCGGCACTTGCGAGAGAACCACCGAAAAAGGAGACTTTCCAGCCGAGACAGTATACGTTCTGCCTTCCTTGACGAAACCACCGAACGATATCTTGGTAACGCAATCACGCAACCATTCCATATTACCTATCAACCAAGCCGTTCTCTCTGGCCGTATCAATCCCGACGATGATCGATTCCTTTCACAGTCCTTGTTCAGCATCGAAGGAACAGAGAACGGCCGCAAACTGTATCCGCAGCAAGTGAACGGAGTAGAACCTCGCGACAAACCTCACACCCTTCTAGAATACGCTATCGATCATTTCAGGTAAATTCAGTCGGCCTTCGCGTAACGAATCGTAATGAAACGGCAAACGTGTTTCCAGAACACCTCCAAAGAGGACGATGTCGAAAGCGTTGACTCTAACGGCCGCGCGACGCGGCCACACCGACGAGTTGTGGCACCATTCCAGGGATCCGATAAAGCAGCCTCTCTTGAAAAAATTGATATCCAAAGAGGAATTAGCCGAGGAAGCGTGTTTCGCTTTTAACGCGATCTTGAAGTATATGGGAGATTTGCCAACGAAAAGACCACGTATCGGCAACGAGTATACCGATCTGATTTTCGACGGACCGCTCAAGAACGAAATTCTTCGGGACGAGATTTACTGTCAAATTATGAAACAGCTGACCGATAATCGAAACAGAGTCAGCGAAGAACGCGGTTGGGAACTGATGTGGCTCGCTACTGGCCTCTTCACTTGTAGCCAAAGCCTTCTTAAGGTAAACAAATATCACGATTCCTCTCAGATTCTGGTTTCCGAAACAAAAAAATACGCCTGTTTTATTTCCTTCTTTCTTTCGTTCGTTCGTTCGTTCGTTCGCAGGAATTGACTCTCTTTTTGCGTACCAGACGGCATCCCATATCACAGGACTCCTTACAAAGGCTACAGAAAACCTTGCGTAACGGTCAACGAAAGTATCCTCCGCATCAGGTAGAGGTAGAGGCTATACAGCACAAAACGACGCAAATATTTCACAAAGTCTATTTCCCCGACGATACGGACGAAGTGCGTGTTACAACTTTAAACGGTTACCTTTCAATATTGTGTCTGTTCCAAGAGCAGCAATTTCGACAGTCGCGACAATAATTCCTCCTTCTCTTCCATATATAGGCATTCGAAGTTGATTCGTCGACGAGAGCAAAAGACTTTTGTCAAAATATCGCGCAAAGGCTGAACTTACGATCCGCGGAAGGATTCAGTTTATTCGTAAAGATCGCCGACAAGGTTATCTCAGTTCCCGAAGGCGATTTCTTCTTCGACTTTGTACGTCATTTGACGGATTGGATCAGAAAAGCTCGGCCGTCCCGCGATGGTACGATGGCCTTTGTCATTCCAATTCTGTTTCTCGATTTTCATCACCGATGATCGAACGAAGAGATCGTGTAAGATTCGTGTCTTTTACCCCACAGGTGTATCGCCCCAATTTACGTATCAAGTCTTCTTCATGAAAAAACTATGGACCAACACCGTTCCCGGTAAAGATAGAAACGCAGACCTAATTTTCCACTTCCATCAAGAGCTTCCTAAATTGTTAAGAGGTAAAAGTGTTCTGTTTCGACACCGGCATTTAGTTAGTTAGATTTACAGTATTATTAATTCCGCTTTTCTCTACAGGATATCATAAATGTACCAAGGAAGAAGCGTCGAGATTAGCAGCATTAGTGTATAGAGTTCGTTTTGGCGAGAGTAAACAGGAACTTCAAGCGATTCCGTAAGTGAAATACAGCGCCGTAACGAGGCTTGTACATACGAGGAGATTCTGTGAAAAGGGATAAATACGATGCTCTTTCTTTTCTTTTTTCCCAGGCAAATGTTAAGGGAACTCATACCTGGTGATTTAGTAAAGGTACAAAGTTCCAACGATTGGAAGAGATCGATAATAGCAGCGTACAATCAAGATGCTGGTAAAATATTATTTTAATCGCGTTAACATTACGTATACACGTGACGATGTCTACAGATTACAAGACAAAACCTCACTTTGTTGTCCACTTAGGGATGAGTCCGGAAGATGCGAAGATAACGTTTTTGAAGATCGTTTATCGATGGCCGACATTTGGTTCAGCGTTTTTCGAAGTCAAACAAAGCACAGAACCAAATTATCCAGAATTGTTATTAATCGCGATAAATAAGCACGGTGTGAGTCTTATACACCCACAAACGAAAGTAAGTGTAATAAAACTCAATAATTATTACAATTAACCAGATATTTCCTGTAAATCTCCCTTTGTGCTTCCAGGATATACTAGTAACGCATCCTTTTACAAGAATCTCAAATTGGTCGTCCGGTAATACATACTTTCATATGACGATTGGAAATTTAGTGCGAGGTTCAAAACTATTGTGCGAAACTTCGCTCGGATATAAAATGGACGATCTTTTAACCTCTTACATTTCGTTAATGCTCACAAATATGAATAAACAACGTACGATACGGATCAAATAAAATCACGTTCTTCGTGAAAACTAAACATGTGCAAGAGACAGGTGGGTAAAGTGATAGGTGAAGCATGCGTATTTCATAATAAAATAGCGAATTTCACGTAATAACGATTATTTCATACGGAAGCAGCAGTTTCCTTCGAAATTTTATCATTTATATACACACATGCTGAATACGTGATTAATTGCCAATTAAACGCTATTCGTCACAACTGTTGCAACGATCCAAAACATTAGGGGAATCATAATGCACGTGTACACAAGCAATTAGCTGAAAAAATTGTATATGATTTATTTACAATTAAGATTTTTCATATAATTTTGTAAAATATTGTTTTAATATGTAGGAAATACAATGAAATAGGTTTCACGTTCAAACATATTCTATCGTTTCGTAGTAGAGACAAAAGTGGGGTGTATAACTAAAATTACGTGCAATCGAGAGAATTCCATACTGAATGCATTTCCGAATTTCATTCGAAATGAAATGTAAAACGTACGTCCGAACGTATACTTAAAATTGTTTTCCAATGTAACGAATCGCAATGATTATTCAATGATTATCCGTCCACTGATACATGTAAGGATGTAATTATTATTAACTCGCAATTTATTACTGTGAATAAAGATAATCGTATTCTTCAGGTACTTTGTGCAAATTTTAATCGTGGGTAAATTCCCATGGTATACGTGTACCGACATTCCTCTTTTACAATGGATCTCTTCAGGAAGACAATAATTCCCAAAGCGATCTTATCTCGCTTCCTGCTGTAGATAATTATATTCGATGGTGTCTAGGAAAAAAGACTGTACCGATTTGACCAAGTCGAGGAGCCAAGAGACGAATTCTTTCGAAGGTCCGATAGGTCCGTACATTTTCTCTTTTATCGCTTACGCAACAATTAGACCGAAACTTTTTTCACATAATTTCGGTGCAACCTCCGATTCTTGGGATTTGGAAATAACGTACAGGTCATAAAGTAAAGACTTTATCATATAAATCTTTTCAATTTATTGTAAAACATAGAGAGACATAGAAACGGTATATACTTAGACTTTGCTTCTGTTTCACCCATTTGAAATGCACCGGTACATCATATCGTACATACCTTTCGAACAAGCATATGTCGTCTCTGTAAATGATACCATGGAATTTCGAGAAATCAGGATATCGATAGACTATAGACAATGTGAGGTTAATGAAAAGCGTGCGTAATATTTGTCTACGTTAAAGAAGCAGTCGAAGGTATTCGTTGGCGAAATAATGTAAATTGTAAAAATAAATAATGGTCGATAGAATGAAATGGTGATATGAATAATTAGTTGACGCGCGAAATCAATGGAACTCGTGCACTGCAATTCCGTCAAGACTCGTTTCTCCACTGTTCAAAACTACAACGCTGTATTTTTTATGCCGTGGAAACAACTTTGTAAAATTAACGTCGTTCTTCCACTGATTGTGTGAGATTACACTTGTATCAGTTATTACGAAGCAGATGTGATCGTTTTATAAAGTTCACGCGGACGTGTACTTGGTGAAATAATATACGTGGTGAAACGATAAATCTTTTCTGATGCTACGGAACGAAAGGAAAGGGAGAGGAAAAAAGGAACGAGAAAAGAACTGAGAGGTGTAAATGTCTCCATGCTCGCGAGTCACCTGTCTTTCTCGATAAATGAAGGGTGTGGTGTATCTTTAAAAAATCGGTCGATTCTAGAACTTTATATAAATGTACAAAATGTCTCAGCAAGAGCACGCTAAAAACTATGCGTACGAACCTATATGTATATGCGTGTATATATGGTATATATCGCGTGGATCGCGATATTTCTGATGATGCGATTCGGTCGATTTCAGAACAAACATGATTTCTCCGATAACGAGACTGGGTGATCTTCCGATAATCGACAAGTAATATACAACCACTTTCCGGTGATCGATACGCAATAATGTTGTATCGCTTAACGCGAGCAAACTAATTTTCTCCTATCCTGCCCCCCAGCATCATCCCCCGTTTTATTGGATAATTAGCTAGATATTCACATTCGTAAAAAGCTCGCTTAAGTCCTAATGTCGCTATAAATTCTAATCCCTGTGTAATTCTGTATTAACACTTAAAGCTAGGAACCTACGTATTTATGAACATAGGAAAACGATTCACGGCACACTGTACAGAGAGACCCGCGGAGGGACACGTCGAGAGGCGAGGCGCGAGGCAATGCAATGCAACGCAACGAAAAGAAACGGTCGCTACGTGTTCTTCGTATTGTCTAAACTAGCTGTTGCGGCATCGACTCGTAACAACAGGTCCTTCACCGAGTAGATGGTAGCTGGTGAACTGGCATCGTCACTGGAATGAACGGGAACGTTCTTGGAAATAGCGTTCGTCTCACTAGCTGGTAAACTTTGGTTCGCACTGTAATTGTGTGGAAAAGATCAGAGGCCCGATTGCGGAGGTTGATGAGTGTTCCAAGGTACGTCCGCGATCGCGGGTGGCATGCTAGCCTGATTGTGCATCGCACGGGGCGCTCTCATGATTTCGTCTGCGGGAGGGCAGTGAGGCCGAGGGCCCGGCTCTGGGGTATAGGTGAAGGTCAATCCTGTCGCGTAGATGATACCATCGTTGCGAACCAACGAGACTGGTACCTGTGTCGGTTGCCTCACCCATAGCCATTCACCCCTGAACTGCGATATGTCGGGTACCACGCAAAGCATGCTCTCTTGACATCTGTACATCGTCTCTGCCTCCACGTCGCCGAACCATACCTGAAGATTCGGCGTAAAATTGTCCCCCGTTAATTCCAACATCGCCACGTCTCCACCTCCGTTCAAGTGCAAGCTATGGACCAGCGGTACCGGTGTGACCGGTGATCGAACCGGGCCCATGCCTTCGAAGAATTGGTACTCTGCTTTATCGGTGCTGATTATTGTCCAGCAAGCACCGTCGTTTATCATCTCTTTGTTCGCCTCTTTCGGACACGGTGTCGCTTGAAACTGTATTATACGTTCTTGAGACAAACAGAGATACATGTGGTCCGTATCTTTCATGTAGAACGCACATTTATGCAGCTGCGAGACAGGATCGTCCGCCTCCAAGCTGGCCATTTGCTTGTCCACCTTCCGAATTACTAAACGCGGAAGCGCCATTCCTGTTACGGAACATACCAGTTTCACTGTACTCCCGTAGTGCACGTACCCGTCTCGCACTTGAAATTCTTCCGACTCGCTCTCGTTGTCATCCAACAAATGTATCGTGAAAGCACCCCACTGAGTGGAGCTAGCATGAAAATTTCCATTCTCCACGTGAAGGTAACGTGTGCTTACTGTTTGAGATCGTAACCGATTGAAGAGCGCAACTTTCGTTCCGCTCGCGATACACAAGTCTGCGTTCTTCAACGATTGTTTCTTCTTCGACGGCTTCGAGATCACTTTGATCCTTTTACTGTGAAACACGCCGATGTCATGTCCGCTGCCATAAAACATCTTCACCGAAAGCATGAAGTGCTTCCTCTTGTCCGAATCCGAGATATAGAGGGTCTTTGCCGCGCAATACTGTTTCCCGTTGTTCAAATCCAATTGTTGCATGTCTTGGTCAGAATTACCGATTCCGATGAACGCGCAAAGCTGAGCGGACTGCTCGCTCTCTCCCTCGCGGAGCATCTGCTCCTGACGCATTCTCCAGCCGTCTCCGAACAAGTAGATACACGGTGGAGGACAGAAGAAACGTTTCTCGTTACCGTACGACTTTTGCGCAACCTTTGCGTGAAGAATTACGATCACCATGTCGCTTCGATCGCGCAAATAACGTTCCATTGCTTCGCGTGTCAACCTTTGATCTTGATGATCCGGTCTGTAGACGCCAGATCCGAATCGAGGATAAACAGACATGACCGAAGTCGGCGAAGGAGGAGATTGCATTCCATGCGCCATCGTGGGCAAACCAAACTGGTGTGGCATATTTAACCTCCACTTCGATTCTCTCTACGATACAACAGAGTTGCTTGGTTGTTTGCTGCTGACTAGCTATCCTTTTCATCCGTACATGTCATAATTGCATCTGCCCCTTCACCTGAAATACATTCCATCGTGGACAATTACAATGAGTATCACTCCCTGTTTTCAGATTCATCTTACAATTAAGCTATCATACACAATCTGCCTTTCCTTTTGGATATTTGCTTATTAAATGGCTATTAGAAGAAAGAAGTAATTTGTAAACGTAATGTGCTACAAGATTTCACGTATAACTCAAGCAGTATGTAGTAGTATTATTGTTATATAATGCTGTATAAAAGAAATGTTTTTTTAATTAGCCATGTATGTTTGAATAGGCACACAAGTATACAACTTTGCTCATTTAAGGCTTCACCGTGAGAAAGATTTTTGTTTTTTATGATGCAAGATATAATTAACGTAAGGTATCTTTCTTTAAACGAGCTACCAAGAATTGCTAGTCTTAGTACAGGAAAGAGGAAACGCGCATATACACTGTGGGAACCAAGCTGAGCTCATTTTTCCTGCATGAATTAAATCACCCATGTTCATTGTGTCTATACAATTATACCTACGTATTTGTAAGTGTAAAGATATTCTCTTTTAGAGATTAATTTCATATGTTAAAATGCCTGCATCGAACACTTTTAATATTCAAATATCGTGTTAGCTATTATTAAACACAATTACTCAGTTCTAGATATTTCTTTATGGAACAACAGTGAATAGAACAGTATTCTGCAAAAAGGCAGAGAGAAAAAAAGACAGACAGACATACACACACACACACACACATGACAGAGAGAGAGAGAGAGAGAGAGAGAGAGAGAGAGAGAGAAACTTGTACTTCCTGATAAAACTTGCAATGTCAATTGTCTAACACAAGTTACGTATACTTGTAACTCTTAATTAAATGCATCACGAATAGAACCACAAATACATATGCTTTCGTGTGAAATCAACAGACCAAGCTTTACATATTACAATTACTTGGTGTGCACAAACTTATATCAATAACAAGTACGTTTAAATTTTACAGTTGTTATGCGTGTAAAATTGCGCGTAATATCCACTATTAATTTCAATTAATTCATTAAGAAAAGAACGATTAAACGTATTTCCTTAATAAAAGATATCTTCGAGAAATTAACACTTACTTTTCAGAATATTTTGACAACAGAAACTGAACGCTATATTTTCTTTCTATAAATTTCTTAATATATAAATTAGACGAATGATATTTTCGAAATAACACCTCGATGCTATCGTTTTAGTAACAAGTTATTAAAACATTCACAGTTATTTATTTACCTTCTCGGTGCAAAGAAGGTTACAACGAACAAAAACAGGTTACGTTATCGATGCTCACCTCATTTTCCATAATAGCTTGAATTGAAACATAAATCCCAATGCATTTTCTAAATTATCGGATGTTCACAAATATCACACCGTTCCTCGATCCTTCACCATTCGCAAATCCCTTTGCGTCCTCGTCGCCTATTCTCCCTAATCCATTCAAAAAACACCTGTTCACTTTCCGAATTTTCCGAACAGTCTTACCAACCCCTAGAAATGACTTAGCCGCGCGCGCCACTTTAAATCCAAAATACGAACATAATATCCGGAAGCACTACTTGAAATTAATTTCAATTAGTAATCGTAAGTCAGTTGTCTTGCTTCTTTATTTCGAAACCTCTTGTCACTTCCAATCTAATAACGAATCATAAACACTCATTTCGACAAATCTACCAAGAAACATACAACCTACCCCGACGGTATTCGCCGAGTAACTAAGTTCGAAACGACAACGTAGAGTTATTACTACCGCGTAAGTGGCTGTAACAGGTATGTATTTATAGGGGATCCATAAGCCCCTCGAAATGAAAGCCCTTATCATTCGTTTAACCACTTCGAAAATATGTTTTTTTCTGCATCACTATTAAATGTAAAACAGTATGTACGATTAAACTCTGAAAATAGAAGAAAAAAGATCGAACAGTCAAATATAATCATCTCTTTCAAACTACTCGAAACTTTTTAGAAAATTATAATTTACATCTCCGGTAAACGATACGACTGCATACTACTTTTCAACGTATCCAAAAAGTTGTAACAACAATTGTCGATCGGTAAGAAATCGTAATCGTAACGCAGCAATTTGTAGGGGTTTGGCTAGTTACGTTACTGAGCTGCAGATTCTATTGTTTTACTGTTGTACAATGGCCTGGTCGACCCAAGCGCCTCCAGTTTCCCCTCTTGTTCCCCACCTGACGTGAGCTACTCCCCTCTGCCCTGTAGGTGCCGTGGAATTGCTGCCGCAAAAGGATGTTGGGGTTACCCTGGGGGGCGTGTCTATGAGTGTGTAGATGCGCGCAGAATAGACGAGATGCACACAAATATACTTCACGTATTACGTTACGTACTAATATACGAAGCACACGAACAGCCGGCCAACAGCCTGATACTGCGTAATATAGAATGAGTGCGCGTGGATAGGCAAATTAACGTTCTATCAGCTTACTTTTTATTCCATCAAAAGTCTGGCTTTTGTTCAGTTAAAAATTTTATGTAGAAACAACAACAAACGTTATTCTTTCTAAGCGTATATGTATTACGCACTTTAGAAGAAATTCTTATGTTCCTAATATACGAACATCGTTCGTCTACTTTTTATATGCGAATCTTGTTTAGATAAATTTGTCGATTATTGAAAATTTCATATTTGTAATATTTTCCTGTTTTACACATCAAATTTATAGGAATAATTATATTTTGCCTCGTTTCCTAAAAATAACGAGGAATGATAAATATTTTGAAAGTGAATATATCATTTTATTAAATAATAATGACATAATGAAAGTAGGATATTATTAAGAACTAACATTCGAGAAGTCTGATGAAGTAAATTGTAAATTCACACGATTAGATTATATATGTAAGTATGTATATCACATCGATAGTTTGTCTTGCAATGTTAAATTTCTTTAGCTAGCAGATACAGTAGTAGTAAACGAAGATTGAACTATCATTGCCGGAGAATTACATTACGAATACAAACATAAGCGCACCTGATGTGTATTGCTTTTGTAATCAGCTGACCGCTGTAGTGCAATGCTACTTGCGTCGGGTTCGTTCGTTTAGCTGTTAATACGCCATAAAAAGTATAAACGATTTGATGGCTTGTCAGATTGGTACATATAAAGCATGTGCAAGTAAAATTGTCATATATAAATGGTAATTATTTGTAAAAGTTCTTCTACATTTTAATAAACGTATTTAGGATTTAGGTTAGGAATATAAAAAACGAATTTTTTTATGCTATATATTTACCTTAACTTTTAACTATGAATAAAGATTGTGATTTCATATTTAAATTTTAAATAAAAATATTTCAACATAGCAAATACTGCAGTATACTATATGAAACTGTATAAGTTAGTAAAGCATCAATCTACTTTGTCAATTGTACATTTTTACAGGTTTTTCACTTCACATAATGGGTGTGTATGGTCTTTGGCGTTTACTTAGTGCAACAGGAAATCAAGTGCCTTTGGAAACACTGGAAGGAAAAGTCTTAGGCATTGGTGCATTTTAATACTTATATTTACAAATTTATTCTATTGCCAGTTTGATGCCAGCTTGTTAAACAAACAACAATTTTGTAATTTTATAGACATATCAATTTGGATACATCAAGTACTGCAAGGATATCAAGACCGCTTTGGCAATCCTAAACCTAATGCTCATCTTATTGGTTTATTCCATAGAATATGCAAGCTTTTGTTTTATAAAATCAAACCAGTTTTTGTTTTCGATGGAGGTGTACCAATGCTTAAAAAGGATACAATTGTAAATATATTTCTGATTAAACTACTACTTTGTATAATCTTTAAAAATATCTATTTGGCAATAGATATATCAACTACTTCGAGATCTTCTTACAATAGAATTTACCTGATGGATTTTATTCCATTTAACTTTCTAAATAGTAGCTATCACATGTCTCAAGTAATAAGTATTAAGTACATTGCGCATGCATGTTTTAATGAAACTGTACTTTTATCTTGATTATAATATTGTCTGTACATAATTAGTTTGCTGTGGGAACCAGGTAGTGAGAAAAGAGACTCTTATTCTTTTGTGTTCACAGGCTTTACGCAGGAAGCAGAAATCTGTAGCCAAGCATAAAGCCCAACAGATGAGGACAGAATTAATAAATAATTTGATAAAGCATTCTGCAGTGAAAACAGTTCTTAACACTGAAAATCAAAATACTGCAACTGACTCTTCTGAAGTACCTATAAATTTGCAGAATAAGCAACAAGTGGATGATATATTTAAATTACCAGATATACCAAGCACAAGCAAGGTAGAATTAAATCTTAGCAATGATTGCGATTCTGATTCGCCCGATGAATTGAGTCCACGGAAACAAACAAAATGGGTCGGAAATATTCACAACGTGGATGTATCTAGCGTTGAATTTAAAGCTTTACCGGCAGATGTGCGTTATGAGATCCTAACTGATCTGAAGGAAACCAGGAAACAAAATTCATGGGGTCGTTTACACGAGATGCCCGAAGTACTTACTAAACTTTGAGAATCATATATACATATACTTGTTCCTTCCGTTCTTCTAAAACATGCTTTCGTTTAGGAATCAAATGAATTTTCTGGTTACCAAATGAAACGTCTACTGAAACGTAGATTAGTTCAGGAAAGTTTAGAATCTGCGGAACAAGAAATGGGAGGGAAGACGCTTACGTTAGACGAATTAGATAAGTTATTGACAGAGCAAGGTATAAATACGAGTGGCCGAAATTGTACTTATCGCATTGCTGGAGACAATACAACTAGATTAATTTATATCAGTGGTGCGTTACAATATGTTAATGTTGGGGTGGAAACAGGCTGCTTCCTTATCTTTGTAAATTTTATGTTGTAGATAAGAATGAGTACATGAAAAGCAACATTATTAGTACGAATAGGGAAAATGCAGTGAATAATGTAAACAAAACGGTTGAAGCTGGACCCAGTAAAACTATATCAATCTGCGATGATGTAAATGAATATGAACTTGATGATGATTGGGAAAGCGACGTTGAAATAACGGCTGAGAATGATTTTATATTTGCGAAAGAAACAAGTAGTGATACGGAATCGGAAGTAGAATTGAACGAATCGCGACCATTATCAAAAAAGTATTTTGGAAAAAACGTTATGAATCCTGCATTAACGTATATGCTGGAATATAGCGGATTAACGGAAAAACAAATCCTTACTCTTCTAGAACAAAATAAGAAAGAAAACCATAAAGACATTGAAAATATCTCGAAAGTATCAGAAACCGGTTCATTGAAAATACCAGATCGTGAAAAGGAAGATAATTCGTTAAGTGAGCAACCTTTAATTGTGATATCCGAAGAGAGCCAAGAATCTGCAAAAGTTGATTCTAGTGAAATTATAAATCCGTTTGATGCACTGAAATCGAAATTATCCAATTCAAACGCAAGAACAAATACTAATTTATTGCCTCATAAAACTACGAACATACCAAATAACGTGCAAGTTAAATCAAACGATGCAACAGTGATCAGTTCAACAGACTCAGATTCGGATGATTTTATAGAGATAGAAGATGTACCAATACCGCAGGTGGAGACTAATATTAATAAATGTGTTTCACAGCAAGGTATTCAAATAACATTTAGATCTGATGAAAAAATGGACGAGGATATGTTTGCCGACGTGTTTGAAACGCCAAGTAGAGAATTACACACAGAAATTGATTCACAGAATACACTGCCCTGCAATGGATCGTCTGAGAAATCGGCAGAAACTTTTCATCGTGAAGAAGAAATATCAGGAAACGAAGTAATTTTGGAGGAAACGGTTGTAAAATCGTCGGACGATGCTAAAGTACAATCTATTGTAGAAAACGTGGATGCAGAGCTAAAGGAAAATGGAACGAAAAACACAAATAGCATCGAAAATGTAAATAATTTTCCAAAAGACAACGTAGAAGCTGCAAATATAAAAGATAATGCAAATGAAAACTTGTCTACTGACGACGATGCAATGAAATTAAGCTCGATACCTATGAACGAAGAAGAATTGCTCTCTTTTCAGGTATATAAATACTAGATTAGAATTTCATAGGTAAGCACGAGTAAAATATTTTTATCCATATTTAATATATTTGGTCTTTAGGCAGAACTAGAAGATAAACAAGCAGAACTAATGGCAAACATCGGTAAATTAGAAAGGCAAGGTATCGATATTTCTGACCAAATACGAGCCGAAGCTCAGGTATAACGGCGTAATAAAATGAAACAAATCTCCAATGTACTGTTTTCACATATTGTATTAAAGAGAGAACATTTATCAATAGGAACTGCTACGAATATTCGGAATACCATACGTGGTAGCGCCCATGGAAGCGGAAGCACAATGCGCATATTTAGAACAGATTCATCTCACCGACGGTACTATTACAGATGATTCGGATATTTGGTTATTTGGTGGACAGTGCGTTTATAAAAATTTTTTCGATAACAGAAAGAAAGTCCTTCAATTTCGTTCTCGCGATATAGAACACCATTTTAGTAAGCTTTGTGCCCTTTTCTTTTCAAAATAAGAAGGAAGCGTACATTTATAGGTTCAAATTCAGGGATATTTATTTTTTTTTTTAGAATTAACGCGAAACGAAATGATACGACTTGCACTTTTAGTCGGGAGCGATTATACAACAGGTGTGACTGGCATCGGTCCTGTTACTGCCTTAGAAATATTAGCAGCATTTCCTACGGAAAGTGACGATTTACTACGAGGTTTAATAAATTTTTACTGGTGGATGGAAACTGGTAGAGCCGCTGGTCCTGGGAAGGCAGGATTGCGGAATAAATTACAAAAGTTAAAAATTCAGAAAGGTCCGTACATGATTTCTTTCAACATTACGACGTACACCGCACTAAAAAGATCGATTGCTCTTTTCTTATGTTTAGGCTTTCCGAGCCAAGCTGTTGTACAAGCGTATCTTTTCCCGAAAGTGGACGAATCAAAAGACACTTTCACTTGGGGAAAACCCAATATTGTACTTCTGTCTGACTATGCGAAAGAAAAGTTTGGTTGGGACAAAGATAAATTTAACAAAATCATGGAACCGGTATTAAAAAGGTTAGAAGAGAAAAAAACTCAAAATAAGATAGACGCGTATTTTAAATTACAACACGTTCCACAATCAATCGAGATGAATTTGAGTAAACGAGTTCAGAAAGCTGTGCAAAGATTAAACAATGAGAACATAGAAGATTCTGCCTGTGTAAAGAATATACGAAAAGTAAGAAAAAGAAAGAAATCTTCGGATGATAAGTGCAAGAAAGAAAGTGAGACGAAAAAGGAACAACCTGTAATTGATTCCGTTGAACCCAAAGTTTCTAATGTTTCTCCTTCTAACGAAAAATTTGTCGAAGAATACATACCACAAAGAGAAAAAAATAAAGCGAACGCTTTGAAAAAAAAATTGCACGCAATTGAAGTACTTCGAAAGTCAAAACGAGGTTTGTATAAAACGAGAAAAGTAACACGTTGCGTAAGAAAGGTGAGAACAGAAGCTAAACTTTCAGAAAGTGATAGCAGTAGTTCATAATGTTACTCAACGAAAAAACTAACTAATGGATTTACTTAGAAATGAAATTGAATTTATGTAAACTTCAACCCTCGAGCGGTCTTCGGGTCTTTTTTGATCCACCGCCTTTTTATATTTTTAGTAATTTTTGCTGTTATCAAGTTTACGTTCCTTAACATTATTTTAAACGTTTATTGTCTAGGTTCATATATCGTGTTGGAGACAAAAATTATTACACGTAAAGTCTTAGGTCCTTTTCGACCCAAAAGTCTTAAGTGTACAGTCGAAACGAAGAACGCAGTAGGGTTAAGTGGTATTTATATTGAAAATGAAATAAAAGTGTGTAAATTTGTTGTTAAATAAATCATTTTTTTCTTTTTACAAAATATTCTTCGCACCTTCTTCGAGAGTACTTAATTAAACGCTACTTTTGTCGACAGTTTTGTAACTTATTGAAACCAATCTAACGTTCACTATCTTATCAATATTTATTCTACGTTTTGTGGATAAAATTTCCGCGTTATGTCTATTCAACAGACATCTATTCCGGAGACGTGGAGTGAAAAAATCACTCTAAAGACAAAACGTCGTTCATTTAGAATAATACCGCGGCACATACAGTTGTCGATAGTTCCTTCCTTATCTATGTATACACTAACTAAGTCATCTCGTTTACGCGTATCATCGATCGACGAACAACCGATCATTAACAACTTAAAAGCCAGCAGTTCTTCCTTCTCTGCGAAAATCCGAGACAGCATATATCCTGCCCTGCTCTTTCGACACAGCAGTAATAGCGCTTCCAATTCCGGAATACGTAGTGACGTTGTGTCCAATACTCGACAAATAACTTAACACATCTGGAGAAAATCCTTGCTCGTTTTGAACGTTCATTGGGAATAGCTGTAATTTGTTAGAGTAAGAATAAGAGCAATAATCGAACTTTCGAACAGACATTTGAATTTACCTGATGATGAATTCTGTGCTCGTCTATAGCTTCTTTTATATTATACCCCGACCAAAGATTCATTACCATTGCTATTGCGATTGAACTGGTGATTTTGGTGCCTCCTGCAGCACCGATTACCAAACGAACGTCTTCACTTTCGTCCAGCTTTAGAAGATGGAAAATGACGTATTATTTCATAATACAATAGTTGTTTATTGCTAAACAACTACACTTACAACTATCGTCGGACTCATAGAACTCATGGGCCTTTTACCAGGTTGAATGTAATTGGCTGGTGAAGGTGGCAGATCGAATCCGTTAGTTATGTTTGGAGAGCTGAAGTCGTCCATTTGGTCGTTAAATATTATTCCAGTCGATCTTGAACGTATCATTGCCCCGAAACTGCAAAATTACAATTAACTGGCAACATTAGAAAAGAATTGTATTTGTTCGTATGTGTGTGCGCGTATATTTTTTAATTTGGTGAACTTGATAATAGAAATTTCACAGAATCAACGAACACTTGATTTATGGTCGATGTTACCGATACGGCCGATCCATCGGGAGCTAAGACAGAAACGTGAGACGTTCCGGAATCATCCGGCGTGGTAGTGACAGCACCGTAATATTTTGGATTGTTACTCGTTCCATGAACGCTGATTCTCTTTTGAATCGTGTTCGCATAATCGATAGACGTTAAATTATCAAGGACGCCAGCTGAGAAAAAACAAAGGAAATACTATGGAAAGAAAAATAAATACGAAATTTCGAATTATCTGAGTAAAGATCGTTTATCAGAAAAACAATTCAGGCAATTCAGTTGATTCTGAACATAATACCGTTATCGTTCACTCTTATCTAAAGTATTCTAAAGTAAAGTTTAAATGGTTTATCACGAAGCGGACAAACGTACGATAATCATGGATGACTCTATACGATAATGTAAATTGCCGACTCACCAATATGGACATAGTTAGGATCACCTAACTCGGTTCTACGGGCGTACGCCCATTTGAAAGTTTCGATGATAGTTTGCCACATAATTCGGTGATCTGCTTTGGGTACGATACCATTGAGAACATTCATAATGAACGTTAGGATCGCTCCTGAACCTGGTGGCGGTGCAGTGTAGAACGTTAGATTTCCAACTTTCGACTTGATTGGTTTCGCCCACTTTACTCTGTAACAAGCCATTCCAATGTAAGGTAACATTCTCCGTGTTTTCCATGTACCACCGACAACTCGAGCGAACCTGTAATTTTGCAAATCCTTCTTTGTCACCGTGCCGTTGAAAGCTTGGATTTCTTCGACCAAATTATCTCCTATACTGCCATTGTAGAATATCTGAGGGCCATGTGTTGCAACCAACTGCAACGTCTTTGCCAAACGTGGCCTCTTTATTCTGTCGTCTACCTAACAGAAGACGAGACGATATAGAAGGAACATTTACGATGCGTCGAGTGAGTGTAAACGTATTCACCTTCCACGTCGCGTTGGTAACGGGGTTTATGAGGATTTCTGCCAATGATTTTTCCGCCTTTATCAACGGTTCTTTGCTAATCAAATATGAAGAAAGGTATTTAGTTACGCGAGATCCAGTCGTACAGAGAGAAATAGTCGGCTGGAACAGATCGGACCATGGTAGTTTTCCATATCTCTGATGGGCTTCCCAGTATCCAAGCAATTCGCCGGGTACAGCAATCGCTAAACCACCTTTTACGATCGTATTCGAGGATCAATATCTGTGTTTGTCGCATCTAAAAAACGTATACGTGACGGTAATAAGAGACACGAGAAGTGTAACGTACCGTACATTGCTAAGTTAGGATCGCCTTTAAACATGTCCCGGTGCGCGGCGGCCGGTGCTGTCTCGCGGGCATCCAAATAATCAGCAGTTTTCGTATACGAATCCCAAATGGTCATCAAAAAGCCACCGCCTAGTCCCATGCTTCCATTTACACGATAAACCAGTAATTAACATTTACATAACGTTTACATCATCCTCGGAAATAATCTGATATCGGTTACCTGTGCAAAGATGCGACTCCCTCGCATAAGAGGGCGGCTATGGCCGCATCCACGGCTGAGCCACCTCTGGCCAACATGGTCGCACCGATTTCCGCGCATTCTTGCCCGTTCGTCGACACTGCACCCTTTCAAACAGACAGCTGTTGTACAGATAGTAATGTTGACTGTCGTTGAAGTGGAATTGGCTATTTACCTTTCCGTACACACCGAGGTACGAATCACCCTTCGGGTTCTTCCCATTTTCTGAACTTCCACCCAGCGTAAAGATTAATATCGTTATCACGGCAGCTAGAATTACAACGATGCTCACCCCAATTAGTAAAATCTTCTTTTTGCTTGGTCTGCATAACAAACAATTGTCCTCTTGTTAAGCCTCGAAAGCAATTTGAAAAGAAAACATTTCGATAACATCTCCGCTATTTCATTTCCTTAACACGGTTACGTTTTTCTTCCTCTCGAGACTCGATAAAAACACCAATATCTCGTTTGTTTCTTCATTCACGCGAACGAAAGAGAAAAAAAGATGATGCACAATTACTTCGAGCGTGTCTATAGTACTCGATAGATTTCCCAATAATATTTCGCGTCATGCGAAATTGTGCAATTATCTATACTACGTACATACATACACGTACCTATGTACCATGTACGTGATCAGAGTTGTGTGCGCGCGTGCCCGCGTGATACTTTGTTGTACAAGTACGAATTAATCTTGATCAATTTTAATCCGCATTATCAAATATATCGCTATCAATGAACAACTTACTTACACCAATAAACACTTGTAAAAACTCTAACATACACATTTATAATGTAGAGCATTGCGCGCGAAACGCGTGTTACGATATAATTGTCGCGTGACGAGACAGAGTATGTACTTACATATTTTAACTTAACGCTCAAAAATATCAACGACACTTTATCCTTTCGTCCACTTTATCAAATCGATCACATTATTCGGTCAATTAGCAAAATTCAAATATTTCGTTTCACGTGTATTAACATTTCCAAGATTCACTGCACAACACTTGTGCTCAATGTGCCAAGATAAATTCTGTTTTATGATGTAATACTATTAGTTCCGATAAATGTGGTAAAAGTCAACTACTGTGGATGCAATAATTACCGATCAACTCGTTTTGTAATACGCGATTTTCTTGTAAAACGTATAGGAAAAACCTCACTGTACAATTTTATTCCATTCCGGCAAAGAACATTTTAGAATGTTTGCATCTATCGCAGCTCTCGTAAACTAGATTGTCATTAAGGATCATCGAATATAACACACCTTTGCGTTAGAGGTCATTTCAGGATTACGGATACGTCTAACTTTAATCGAAGATAGCAACGCGCTACAACATCGAATTTATGCGATAGTTGATAGGAATGTGAATAAGAAAGATTGGTGTCAAAGAAAATGTAAGAAGTAAAAGAATTTTTACCAACCCGATCATGTTGCGCGAGCAAACGTGGTACCAGAGAGCGCTCAACCTTGACTAAACGTTTCACCAAGCCGATCGTCGCCTCTTATACTAGCTTCAATACGGATTCTATTTGTTTATCCCCACTACATTCTTACATTCACAATATCAAAAACATCCAATTTCTTCATCATTATCAAATTAATAATTCACTGATTCGTTTCAAATTTTATCATCCTCTTACGATCCGTTCTATTTTCCTTCGTATAAATACGAAAATTATCGGACATTTCTATTCGTGTTGCAACATCATTCTTCAGCGACTTCAAACTATCGTCAAAAATCGTTACGCTTGTCGTTGTTAAGAATTTTCACGTTCACTCGATATATTTTATTTCATATCTAATATGTATATCTTTTCGTTTCATTCTCGAATGCCTTGTTTTTCCTTAAACAGAAACGTACAGATTCTTGCATCGATAGAATCTTTAAGTCGTAAAACATTCTTTGTCGAAATCAGAACAGCCTTTGAAATGCGTCAATACGTAAAAACTATTTCTCTCATCTTAAAGAAGTACATACTACCATTTTATTGTAAACAATTACCGACGAAATGTTTCTTTATACACGCACAGATAGATAGAGAAACGTGCAAAATGTTTAATATTACAAGTGCTTAGACAGCTGGAACTCGACACCGATATATCGCAATTCAAAATACAGGAAAACACTTCTAACGAGCTGTTGCTTACGTTTCTTAACGGACAATTAGATTTATATGTATATTAGAATAGAATTTTATATTAAATTAGCGATATTTCTTTAAAATATCCTTGGGACAGTATTAAGAATTATTTAAGTTATTTTATTCTTTATAAAAACAAACAGTAACAAATTAAGAAACATCTAATAAACTCTAACTTGTACTATACATATTAAGTTAGAGAAACGCGTCACATCACATTACCCTCTACCGGTAAAAAATGGAATTAAACCTCCGGATGAGTAGCGATCGTTTTGAAAAACGGCGAAGTCATTTCGCGAGCTAAGCAAGTGAGGTGTATTTTTGATAAATTTGGGGAAAATGACAGCGAGGTACGATAGAGCTATCACGGTATTTTCACCGGATGGACATTTGCTTCAAGTCGAATATGCCCAAGAAGCCGTAAGGAAAGGTTCTTCTGCGGTACGACGATAATTTTCCTCTAACCTCTTTTGTGTTTGCGTTCATCTGCATTGTAATATTTTATACACTTTTTTCCATTAAATACATTCCCCGTGTACAAACTTAATAATATTTGAATACGCTTATAACATTGCAGGTCAAAAAAGAGTTTTATATTTTTTTAAATATAAACATTTGTTCATGTTGTAAAGAGAAAAATGTTTTAATAAATTTGGTTTACTTCAGGTCGGTGTTCGTGGTAAAGACATCGTTGTTTTAGGAGTTGAGAAAAAATCTATTGCAAAACTACAAGAAGAACGAACAGTTCGTAAAATATGTCTGCTAGATGAACATGTTGTAATGGCATTTGCAGGTTTGATTATAAATATTACTCTTAAACAGGTAGTGTACAATTTACAAGCATATTGTATTTTAACAAATATATATATATATATTATTTCTTCTTCAAGGCTTGACAGCAGATGCAAGAGTGTTAATTAATCAAGCACAAGTAGAGTGCCAGAGTCATAGATTAACCGTAGAAGATCCTGTTACATTAGAATACATAACTAGATACATTGCAGGTAGGCAAATATATTTGATTAATTACAGATTAAATAAATGCACCCTTACAGGATGAATGTATTATTTGTTTTTAGGGTTGAAACAAAAATACACACAAAGCAATGGTAGAAGACCTTTTGGAATATCATGCCTTCTAGCTGGATTTGATTATGATGGTATTCCACATTTGTATCAGACAGAGCCTTCTGGCATTTATTACGAGTGGAAGGTATATTTTGAGTGTAGTAGAGTACTTGTTGATTAGGAAAGAAGAAAAAATCATCTTTTTCTTTTAAAGGCAAACGCGACAGGTCGGAATGCCAAGACAGTTCATGAATTTTTACAAAAATATTACACACCGGAAGAAGTGTCAACAGAGAAAGGAATTATAAAACTAGCGATTAGAGCCCTATTGGAAGTAGTACAATCAGGACGAAAAAATTTAGAAATCGCGGTAATGCGTCGCGGTCAATCGTTACAGGTATAAATTAGTATTTTTTATACGTTTGTATAGGAAACCGAAATTTTCTTCTTTAACGATAAATCTCCGAATCTTTTTACGCTGTAGATGCTAGATTCCGATACGATTGGGGAATATGTCATAGAAATTGAAAAAGAAAAAGAAGCAGAAGCTGAAAAGAAGAAGCAAAAGAAGTGATGTCTTTATACAAAGATTCACGTTTATTACACGTTCATTAATATTTTACTTGAAATAAATATACAACACATGGACAAAAAGAGAAACGAAATTCTAATATTCATTTTATTTGTACTTTTTTGCTATGTCTATTGAAGCTATATGTACATCCACAGTTATTTTTAAATAAATGATTTAAAATTCATGAAATTGCTGCAGAGAATTGCATTTTCCCATGTTTATTATCTGTGTAATACAACCAAAATCATTGATAAATAAAACATAAATGAAACTGCAAAATTTTATACATTAATATACAATGTCTGATTTCAGTTACAATCCTGGTTAAATGTGTTTAAAGCGCATTACTCTCATAAGTATTACATCTCCTTAAAGATCTTCCGCGATGATTGAATATTTGGAACGATGGAAGATTTCGTAACGTTTCCCAAGATTTATTTTCTAAATCAACCACTGCTCGAATTTCTTTAAAATCACCAGCTATGTACATTACTCCGTACATAACCATAAACAAGCTAGCAATACCTTGTATCAAAATCTGTAATGAAAAAATATTACCAATTGCATGCTTTTTATATGCCAATTTTAAACATTATTTAATACCTACATCAATTGGTAAGGTAGTGAATTCCTGTTCTGTTATTCGTAAATATGAACGATCTGCAAATTGCATTTTACAAAAATAGTTAAAATTTCAAAGAACTTAACCTGAAAAATATTGAACGAAGTTCCAAATTTTTTTAATCGTAAAAATGGTACGTACGTTGGGCAGCAGAATATGCTGCATGTAATATTGACAGTAATCCAATGAACGTTATAAATTTGTGTACAGTTGTTGCAGACATTTTAATATTATCACAAATTAGAAATTGTTTGCGGTAATTGCTCATAAGAAGTTCTCATGTCATCCGTGTCAAAAGTGTAACAACTAAGGCGCGTTTACACGCATAAAAAGAATGTTAGTCCTACTTACGAACAGATGCCACTACATTCTATTTATGTAAAATATACGTTGTTGCAATTCTTTTCTTGTTACTGCAATTAGTTTACTTAATTTTTAAGATACCACAAATTTCAATCGATTCTTTATCATATAATCATTGTAAATTGCCAATATGTGGTAAAATGTGAATTTATCAGACTTTGGAAGATATACCACCATTTGAGAACGCACCGATACGTACTAGTGTATATATACGCAATAAATAGTGTGAGGGAATCGAAGTAGTGGTGTAAAAGTTGATCGCTCTCACTCTTCCTATCCCTTCCTCTCTCTGTGCATATGCAAATTAAAGATGTTTGTTTATAGTTGATAATTGTTCCGATAATACTAAACGTCATGGATTACGAATTTAAATTGAAAACTGACACGGATCGGACAAAGGTGGAAGACCTGTTCGAATTCGAAGGATGTAAAGTTGGGAGAGGAACTTACGGGCACGTCTACAAAGCTCGCAGAAAGGAAGGGTTAGTGTTTCTAACCTAACATAGAAGAATGCGTAGTATTTAATTTATAGTTTTACATTTCGCATCAAATCTTCAATTTTTTTAAATTGTACAAATCTACCAGAAATATTTTTCGTTGTTAGGCGATTGTAGTTTTTACTCGTACGTTTAAATTAAACTATTTCTTGTACATATTCTGTATGGTTTTTAGAATTTTTAACATGTAAAATATAAAATGATTTATTTTAAGTATTCTAAATATTACGTAAAACATTTACACAAGGCATTCAATCTTTTTATTCAATCCTTTTCACTTTCTGCAATTGTAACACACACGTACTTGAAATTTCAATAGAGTACCCGATAGCGAATTAAAATCTCGGCCAGACACAAAGGATTTTGGTCTTAAACAAATTGAAGGCACAGGTCTTTCGATGTCTGCATGTCGAGAAATTGCAGTAAGTATTTATTCCGTTTTTTGTCATACATAAATTATACGCAGAAGTAAAAATACTCTATGTAACAATATTGAAAATGTTATTGCAAATAGTTTTATAAACTTTTTTCAACAGTTACTTAGGGAACTAAAACATGTAAATGTGATTACATTAATTAGAGTTTTCTTGTCACACATTGACCGCAAAGTATGGTTACTATTTGACTTTGCTGAACATGATCTATGGGTATGTTTATGCTTATTAAAAAAACTGTTTTTCAATAAGAAATTTTTGACAAGTAAAAACTTAAAAATCTGATATTTTGATCCGTAGCATATAATAAAGTTTCATAGAGCAGCAAAGGCTAATAAAAAACCTGTTATGGTACCAAAAGGTATGGTAAAGTCTTTGCTATATCAAATCCTCGATGGTATTCACTATTTACATTCCAATTGGGTACTTCATAGAGATTTGGTAATTATCATTGTACAAAGATGTCATGCATACATACAAATATTTTAGTAATGGGAGAAGGAAATGAAAGGGGACGTGTAAAAATTGCAGATATGGGTTTTGCTAGATTATTTAATGCCCCTTTGAAACCTCTGGCAGACTTGGATCCAGTTGTAGTGACATTTTGGTACCGGGCACCAGAACTACTTTTAGGTGCTAGACATTACACAAAAGCTATAGGTACATTTAACCTGTGTTTAAAAAATAAAATGACCATATATGCATATCCTGTTTTCCTTCATAAATTTTGCTCTGTTTTTTTAGATATCTGGGCTATTGGTTGTATATTTGCAGAGCTCTTAACTTCAGAACCGATATTTCATTGTAGACAAGAAGATATTAAAACTAGCAATCCATATCATCATGACCAATTAGATAGGTAGAGAAATTGCTACTGTGACAATATGACATCACAGTGCTTAACAATGAAAGTAGAAAATAAAATAAAAATAAAGCGTTTGTTAACTAATTTAGGATATTCAACGTTATGGGATTTCCGTTAGAAAAAGACTGGGAGGATATTAAGAAAATGCCGGAACATCCTACGTTATTGAAAGACTTTAAAAGATCAAAGTTAGTAAGGTCGCCTTTGAAAAGTAATTATCGCAAAATTCAATTGTCAACACGAGTGGTCTTTTATATATTTTTGTCGTTTTCGCAGTTACGCTAACTGTTCCCTCACGAAGTATATGGACCGACATAAAATAAAACCTGATAGCAAAGCGTTCAATCTGGTACCGTGAAATGAAATATTTCAATTCTTTTTAATAATTTCTTCTTCGAACAACGATATTAATTTAGCCGTTTTAGCTTCAAAAATTATTAATGATGGATCCTAATAAACGAATAACCTCGGAACATTCGATGCAGGACGCTTACTTTCAAGAAGAACCACTGCCGACGCAAGAGTACGTTTTCAATTCGCGGTATATTTAATCGTATCGATCGTGTCCTTACGAATTTAACCGAAATTATAACGTTGCAGCATATTTGCGGGCTGTCCTATTCCGTATCCTAAACGAGAATTCTTAACGGACGACGATACAGAGGAAAAGACTGAAAATAAAGCACGTCAGAATCAGCAACAAACTGTAAGTACATATATCGATTTACCGTTAAAATTGGTTTATTTTTTAACAAATGCCACGAAATTGCAGCAACAAAATCAACAGCAACAAGGAAACGGTGACCATAATCACGGACAGAGCGCGAAAAGGGTAAGACTGAACGGTCCTCACGGGGCTCCAGAATTTCATCAACACCAAAGTCACGCGATGACCCATCAACAGCCTCCTGGAATGGTTTATTCTACCGCTCAACCAACGCAGCCGTCGAATTTTCATCAACGTTTCTAACGCGTTCCGTATAACAATTGAACATGCAATTTGAACAATGACATGATTAGTGTACCGATTTAATTAATTTCTGTGTCTATGGACAGACCAGCGATTCCTGTATATTACTTGGCAGTATAATTATGCAATTTTATTTATACATTATGTAATACGTACATGTGTTTCAAAGTATTTTTTACACTACGACGTACTTGGTATTCGCGGCGCGTCTAGTGATACCCGACGAAATAGTATATTGACTCGTTATCTCCGATAAGCGGCATTTGACGAATAAAAAGGAATTTGGGAAAGCACGTAGTTCCTGAAATATCTTTACGTTTGTCCTGCAGTTTTCGTTACTTGGTAAGACGAACGTTTCGAATGGGAAAGGTAACGTAGAACGAGAGAAGCTGGATCCAGTAGAGGGGGAGTACGCATGCGCGGTAAACGATCGCGGCAGTATCGTTGCGGTGAGCCGACGCGCGCTCCTGAAACGCAGTTTCCGCGAATCGGTGCCCGACGAAAAAAGTGTGCGTGCGCTGCGTGATACCGCGATCGAGATGCCGATCAAACTACGGATCATCTCCCGTTCCTCGGTCAATTTGTTGCTCAAATGAAAATAAAAGGTAAGAGAGACGATCTGACCGATCAAACACGATCCATGTGATCTTTCTATCGTATCGCCTTTTCCCACGTTTCGCTGGTCTCTTATATGTAAATACGGACACCTGTCAAACTTGGTCGCGCTTATTGTTTCTCCTAACGAAGATTTAAGGTAACAAACGCACGCGTATCTATACGTTTGCATCGTCGATACAAATTGACAACTCGTACTAGTGCAGGCGCGTTATTTCCATTTTCGGGTGAACAGTCTCGCATTGCACAATACTAAAAGAGCTCTTGCGTAATAAACGATGGAACAGTTCTAATCGCACAGTACGGTATTTCGAAACGATTTGGCATAATTTGTCGATTTTGTTGTTTCGCATTTTAAACGCATAATAATGTGTCTAGAATCTGGAACGACGATTACAACAGAAAGAATAAAATTTCATAGAACTGGACGTTGTGTAATTGGTATTTGATTTTTCCTTCGACAAACGTTCTCATCTGCCGGGTTCGAGTGGCGAGCACCGAGTAAGGAATTAAGAAAGAGACAGAAATGAATCAGCGAAGTGGCAATTTTGAAGTTGGAAACAATCGAGGAGCGTGATAGATGCAGAAGTAAAAGTAAGTGGGAGGGGGGACGATCCTGACCACTATAATCCAAGCAAGTCGGGGCCATGACCACGTTGCGACAAGGTAACCGCAATTAACTCGTATCGATACTCGTACAGATATTAACGGAACGATCGATAATCCTAGTTACTACACGGTAGCTTCCTCCTCGAGGACCGTTTACGGAGGATATAATTGCGAAGATAAATATCTTTAACATTGAAATTTCCGCGATGAAAAAATAGGGAGGAATCGTAACGGAAGAAAGAGTGGGTTCAGGCTTCACGCAAGGACGTTCAGGGCATACTCTATTCCAACTTTCACGAGACGAAGACGAACGTGACGAAACTAGCAACCGTGTATCCTTAGTAAAACACGTAACGTACGAAATAGCAGACAAGATGCGGATATCGTACGCAACGATTCTGAAATATCGCGCGCACGTGCGCTCTAGTACGATCGTTGCCGATACATACAGTGTTTTAGGCCGGGATTTCGTACGTCCGAGAAACGACATTGGCGACGGTCGAAACTTTTTTCGTCGGTAGTGAAAGACGTGGGAAGAGAGGAGAGCAGATTGTCGGTGAACATACGCTTTGGTTCGCGTTCTCTTGGCTTACACGCGAAAGAGAACGAGAGACAGAGAAGAGAGGCGAGGTCAGCAAGGTACCCGATATGGTATCCCACGTCCGCCGTGCGTGCTATTTCATGTATATGTATGCCTAAATATACACGAACACAGGCAAATTCGTACATACGTCCGTATCGCCTCTAGCATTATATTAGCGATCGTCGCGACTCAATTACCAGCAAGTGCAGTTTTATATGCCACTTTGCCCGATATACATAAACGGAAAACGCGCAGAGTCGCGAACAAAACCAGATCGGTGTCTGTCTGTTTTCTTTCTTTTTCTTTTTTTCTCTCTCTCTCTCTCTCTCTCTCTTATTCTTTCCTCTCTCGATGGATCACGCGCGGCCTTCCTAAGATGGCCAGTGACCGTAAATGCAGACACGCAAGTGCGAACTCCGAGGTCGTCGGTAGGAACGATTGCAGGAAGCTCCGATGACTTAGTACGGGCGCAGCAAGGCGTACCAGCATGAATCATTTCTACCAGCTTCTATGGCTCGCGATACGTTCCAAATCGTGCTGGTGAATCTGTCGGTTACACGCGAGCGACACTCCTTCCAAATGGTCCCCGTCCCGCGGACCCCAACCCCTTTCTTCGCGCGATAATCCGCGACTGTCGTCCTGCTCCTTAATCTACCGGGGTGGCTCCGCTCGGCTCCGCTCGGCTCGGCTCGGCTCGGTCCTTAATAATATTCGAGAATCTATTTTTAAGCGTGACTAGAGATATGCGCATGCATATGGTGACGCAATCCTATGGTCTTTCCCCTATACTTCCCTCTCTACCGCTCTTACTCTTACTCTTCGCCTCTCTCACTCTTTCTCCTTTCCTCCCACTCTCTACGTTTGCGTTTCTTTCTCTTTCTTTTCTCGCGTCCTCCAATGCGGTGTACATGTATGTATTCTTACGTTCACGGTCTCTCACGAGCGGGAGATTTCATTTTTCGAACAGCGACACCTTCTTTCATCGATCTCCGCGATACTCTCGTCTCGTCTCTTATCCGTAGCGCAACGAGAATCCATCGGCGTTCCTTTTAAAGCCACGACCGATCCAATCCAATCCAATCCAATCGTGCTGTTTGCAAATGGCATAGAATGTATAGAATCTAGACGATATTTCGTATGTTTCAGAGTTGGAGCGAACCATCCTCCAAATGCAGTCAATATGGATTCCCACGTTGGTCTCGACTATATCGTCGACAATCCCGATTACTGCATCAAGCTCGCCTCGGGTAATGTTATCGAACACGATTGCTTTCGAGCCGTGTTCCCGTATTCATCGTTGCGTCTTTCGTTGAATTTCAGCCTTGGACACCGCTTGTCCCTCGGTCAAGAAACAAGTGGTAGAATTGCTTTCGGCGCTGTGCGTTTACAGTCAGGATGGAAGACAGAGGGCCATCGATACTCTTCACGCGTATCAGGTGATCGAACTCGAGAGAGAAATTCGAACAACGATCGATCGTTGTTCGCCGGGTAATCAAGTATTACCGCAAAGTACCGCAATCCTTACCGCGAAGGTATTAAGTAGCGTTCAAATGCAAGGTTGTTACATATATCGCGTATAGTACGTCGTGTTATATTGTACAATAGAGATAGGTAGACGTTCTACTTGGACGAAGGAAAGAAAGAACGCGGCATGCCGACCCTTTCCCCTATGTCACCACCTTCGATTCAACTTAACAACGGACCGGTAACGTTTTGCAGAAACGAAAAGGTGAACGGTACCGATTACGGATCGTGGTAGAAGAGCTGCAGAACGCAACCGCGGAGGATTATCGAACGGCCCTGTTGGCGTTCGTAAACTGTTTAGTCATTTCAACGCCGGTGCTGAAAGATCGGATAAGAATTCGCAACGAGTTCATCGGTTGGTATCCTCTCGAGATCTTCAAATTCGATCTTAGCCTATGTAATATCCTTTTGCGGTTCCAGGTTTGAAGCTCCTATCGATTCTGAACGAGCTGCGGTGAGTACTGTACGACGAGCTGGAGATTATTTACGAGATTAACTGATTAACACCTTAACATCGTTTGAATAATAAATAATAATGAATGTTACGAAAGGGCGCTTTATTGTACCCACACCTTCTCATTTGCACTTAATGCAACGTTAATACATATATCGCGCATGCATCGAGCGTCGTATGCATCCAGCTGGAATGATTAAACGGCTCGATTGAGGATTGGTCAACTAACGAACCAGGCATTCATTCAGCATATGCGATACACAACAATTGCATGCACTAATCCAATCATCGCGTTCGACGCGTCACTCCGCACCGCGCAGCGCCTCTCGATCTCGATCTCGATCGGTGTCATCGCCGCACCAAGCCACGGGAAAACTATGATTGGAACTACGACAATTGGCTCTCTGGGTTTTGTCCTTTCTCTTTAGGTCCCCGCTTAAATCACCGTCTCTACAGGAATAGTACGATCTGTCATTCCTCCGTGGGATGACGGACGAGCAAACTATTCTCGACCGAGCAAAACGAATTTACGATCGAAGGAATCGCGACAGGGGCGCGAAACGACATGTGAAAATTTACAGCGAAAATTCGATAACACCACGACAGCCACCACCGTACAATTATGCCAATCTTCGGTATCTCCCTTTCGAAACTTTCCGTAAAAGAAGGGGAGGATGGTGTAGAAGGAGAAGAGAAATGGAAAGAAAAGGAAGAATCGCGTGCGAAAGTGAAGGAACGTTCGCGCAAACCCGAGCTCTTCTCAGAGTAAGGAAATGAAAAAAAGAAGAAGCGAAACACGCGACTCGAAGGGAGAGAGAAAAGCCCGAATTAACTCTTCGCGAGTAAGGTTGTGCGAGTGCAACGCGCTCTAGGCTGGAGCGATCCCGGTGCGGAACTCTTCCCTTCCATCCACCAGAATATTTACACGCTTTTAATACTTCCACGCGTTCTCTTCTCTTCTCTTCTCTTCTCTTCTCTTCTCTCGCGATTCACGTCGCCAACTCGAATCGCGCAAGTTACGAGTGAAACGATTTACCGGAACCTTTTCGAACGATACGGTGTTTAGTGAAAAGTGACGTCCTCGATTTTACTTTCCGATTCGAGATCCATTTCGAGCAGACGGTGACTATTTTCGGTAGTGCATCGAGGAGAGGAAAATCGTTCAGTTCGAAGCGCAGCTGGAGCTCACCGCTTCACGTAAAACGTACAGTCTATGATCAGTTTTAAGTTTATTCACGACTAACTCCACATCGAACGCTACTCTCCCTTTGTAATTTAGCTCGATTCTCCTGCCTGCCTGCCTGCCTGCCTGCGTCTATTTATGCACCAGATCCTCGCTGCGTAAATATGGATGTTAGATATTTGTTATGTGGAACACGTATACGACGCTTCGGTCGCGTACGAATAAACCGATAACGGATCGAAACCGGAAACGATTCGCGGCGAAAATAGAGAAGAATGGTAGAGAGAAAGAGAAATTGTAGAGGAAAGATGTGTGTCGAGTGGGACGAAAATAGTTCAACACGGATCAGGAAGGTGACGATTATTCTTGCAGGAAGAAAAGCCATGCGCCGGATCTGAGAGTGCAACTGGACGTGTTCGACGATCAGCGGGAAGCCGACGAAGAATCCTCGAATCACGGACCGCCGGGGATCGATCTTTCTTCCCACGTCGACGTCTTTTACGCGATTCTCGGACAAGTAAGAATCTCTCTCCGCGACTCGCGTCTGCCCGTCGATAACTACACCTCCGTCCGTACCTTGCATTAGATTGCAGACACTCCGCAAGAGATACCGTTCTTGAGTATTCTTCAACATCTATTGCGGCTCGACCCGAAGGATGCTGCCAGCGATCTAGCATGGGACACGGCGGAAACGTTGGTGCACAGAGCCACGCTGTTGGAAAACCGAGAAGACGCTACTAAATTGTTGCGTTCGCCTAGCCTTCAGGTAACGCGCTTTCTTTCCTCGTTTCATCGGCACCGAACTTAGACCGATCGCTTTCCACAGACGAATCTCTGCTGTCACTGTCGAGCAGCTTGTTTGGTAGCTGAACAAACCTGCGGCACGTCTCGAAAGGCCTCGTTGCCGGTGAACAATTCGGCGGCGCCCTTGCCACCTTTACCACCCCCGCCTCCGCCTCCTGCCCCCTCTAACCAAGGCCGCGCTTTACCGCCGCCTCCACCTCCGCCGTTTTTTACCGCCAACGCGACGCACGCCGATGCATCGATGGAGCCACCGCCGCCCATGCCGCCGCCGTTGCACGCGTTACCGGTCACACGGGTGCCCACCCCCGAGCCACCCAATAATCATGCCAGATTGCTGCCGCAACAGGAAATACCCACCCCCAAGGCAAAAATGAAAACCATCAATTGGAACAAGATACCCAATCACAAGGTACTCTTCCCCTTTCGTTGTCCTTCCTTTCTCCTTCCACTCTGATCGCGATTTTCATCGTCTCCTAGGTTATCGGCAAGCGCAACATTTGGTCCCTGGTTGCCAACGAACATCAAAATTCCCCCATGGCGGATATAGATTGGGCAGAGATGGAAGGATTGTTTTGCCAACAAGTGCCGCCGGTGCTGTTACCCGCCACCTCGTGCTCCTCCTACGGAACGAACTCCGACGCGGAGAGGCGACGCAGGGAGCCGACCGAAGTACGATCTCCTTCCTTCCAAATGTTTCATTCTCATTGTCCCCTTCGATTCTTTCAGATCGCGCTTCTCGACGGCAAGAGAAGCTTGAACGTGAACATATTTCTGAAACAGTTCCGAAGGTACGGTATTTCTCTTTTAGCGATTTCTCCGCGAACCGAACAAACGGTAACAGTCCAATGAATTTCTAGTTCGAACGAAGATATAATTCGGCTGATAAAGGAGGGCAGCCACGACGACATCGGAGCGGAAAAGTTACGGGGCCTTTTGAAGATTTTGCCCGAGGTCGACGAGCTAGAGATGCTGAAAAGTTTCGACGGCGACAAGTCCAAGCTCGGAAACGCCGAGAAATTCTTCTTGCAGCTCGTTCAAGTGCCCAAGTAAGAAAAACCAACGATATGTATTACAGTTATTCGTATTCGACGGTCTGATCGATTCCAGTTACAAGCTACGCATAGAGTGTATGCTGCTGAAAGAAGAATTCGCTGCTAACATGGGCTACCTAGAACCGAGCATCAATTCGATGATTCTAGCTGGAGAAGATCTGATGACGAACAAACCGCTTCAGGAGGTGTTGTACATGGTTCTGGTTGCTGGAAATTTTCTCAACTCGGTACGAATCGGCAGTGGAACACTTTTATCTCCGTTGAATATCAACGAACCGCGTAACTAATTCGAAGCGAATATCGTAGGGTGGATACGCTGGAAATGCCGCTGGCGTAAAGCTGTCCTCTTTACAAAAGCTAACCGAAATTCGGGCGAACAAGCCCGGAATGAACCTCATACATTACGTAGCTCTGGTAACGTATACTTTTTTCATATCTCTCCCCCCGTTCACAATGGTCAAACGTGTTTCGCATCGATTCGTAGCAAGCCGAACGAAAGAGGAAGGATTTGTTGGATTTCGCAAAGAGCATGACTACTCTGGAAGCTGCTACCAAGTAAGTCTCTCGTCGCGGAAACGATCGAAATAGAAAATAACTTGAACCACTTCAGATAGATTCTCTAATTTTTCCTTTCTGTCTTTCTTTTCATCGTGTTACAAGGACCACCACGGAGCAATTAAACAACGAATTTAACGCACTCGATACAAAAATCAAAAAGATCAAGGCGCAGATAAATTTCCCTTCCACGGAGACCGATATACAGGAACAGATGGCGCAATTTTTGCTGGTATCTCTTATAATTTCGATGATTCAACAGGAAACAGATTATCCGAAAATTACCACCGTTATCTCGTAGATGGCGGAGAGAGAGATGAGTCAATTGAAAAGGGACATGGAAGAGCTCGAAACGCTAAGGCGATCGCTCGCCGAATTCTTTTGCGAGGACAGCAACACTTTCAAAATCGAGGAATGCTTGAAGGTGTTGCATCAATTCTGTCAAAAGTTCAATCAGGCTGTCGCGGAAAACGAAAGACGTAGAGTTCAAGAGGAACAAGTATTGGCGAGACGCAAGCAACGGGAGGAACAACTTTTGGCTAAAAAACGATTACGTACGTCGTGAACGATATTGTTACCTTCCCACTCTGTCCTTTCTTCCTTATCATTGTCTTGCCCCTTTTTCAGTGTCCAACGCTAATAACCAACAAACCGAGACGCCAACCTCTGAATCCGAATGCAATCTACTCGATTACGATCCCTTCGATCTTGGTGTCAATTTATCTCAAAGAAATTACGGTCGCAACGATGCCGCGAAGGTAAACAAACGCCCTCTCTTTCTACCTCTTTACATTCACCGGGCGTTACACTGTTTCTTCTTCCATTCTCTTCGACTCAGATCAAAAGACTGCAAAACGGAGCCGTCACTTCCGACGAAGATGTCTCGATCACGGGGTCGCCGAATATTCGACGTCGTTTAGGCTCCTGTTCCGGCGGGATCGTCGATCAACAATCTACCAAAGATGAAACCTACTCTCCAGGTTTCGTATCTTTTAATCTCTCTCGAACGCCCCCTTTTCTTTCGCTTATTCTTCTTTTCGTCGGTACGTTGACAGACGTGACACCGAACGGTACTCTTCGCCGTCGAAGGAGTCGAATACCTTGCGAAGACGACGACGGCAATCTGATGGACTTTTTGAGAACATCGGGGCAAGACGGTACACGCGAAAAAAAATCGTGGGGTAGTTTAGGTACGTATTATCGGTGCGCGTATAAAAATCGTTCGCGTTCGCTCACCACTTTCGATCAACGAGTAGATCGTTCATGGGCAAGACGAGCTCGCGGCCAGTCTCGCAGAAGTGATCTACTGAACGCCGATTTCTCGGCCGATCGTGAAAGACCGAGCTCTCCGTCACCTTTGGTGGAAAGCAAGCCCTTCTTGCAAGAGGAAGAAACGAAACCTGCAGGGTGAGCGATTGTATAATATATTGTATAAACATGTATATGTATACGTGACTGATAACCACGGGACGCGTTCTACGTTGTAACGAATCGTGCGTGCAGGAAAGCGTGGAGGCAGAAGATCGAAGCGTGGCTGTCGGAAAACGAGAAGGAAGACCGTGCAGGTGAAGAACTTCAACGAAAAGCGAGGCAGTTGCATCAAGCGAATCGACGGTCCTTCGAAGACTCGGGTATGTCGATTCGATTTCAAATGTTCCTTTCCAAGCTGACGATACGCGTTCGTCTAATCCGTAGAAAGCGAAGGCAAGACGAACACTCCGACCGAAGGTAACCCCACGCGCGAACCGTACTCCGAAGTTTACGACTGGCGTCCGTCGGTCGAAAAGACAGACGTGATACGTACGATGGAGGCTATCGAAGGTTATCTCTTCTATTTTCTTCCTCTTCTCCACCTTTAACAGCTTCATTCCGAAACTTGCCTTTCCTAACCTTTCATTTCAGAAGCCGAAACGCATCCGTCGCAAAAGGATAAATCTCCGTGGCGAAAATCTAGCTTAAACGTACCAAATAGCGTGGAAGAGGCTGACCCACGTTACTCCCGTAGGCTAAGATCAAGGCTCAGCGCAGAGAACGTTCTAACTTCGAGCACCTTGCAGGTTATTCGAATATCTCCTATCTCGTTTACTTCTTCTCTCGATTCAACCGACGATACTTTCGATTTTCTCTCGCTCGTTGCAGTCCATCAAAGAGGAGGAGAGAAAGAAGAACAAGATCAACGATGCCGCAAACTCTGGTCATCAAGATGAATTAACGATATACCTACGGCACCCTTACCCACCTAATTCTCAAGCACCTACGTCGCGCAGATTTTCCAAGCTAAAGAGAGGCGCGGAGGAAGAGAAGATCGTCGACAAGATAGAAATCGATTCTGACAACATAGAAACA